TGATTTTGAAACAAATTTGAGCTTTTATGGATACACTTGAAAAATTGTGTTGGATTTTGTCTAGCAATTTGTTGGCAAAAGAGGTCATGGCATTCAATTTCTTGGCATTGCTATGCCTGTTTTAGGACCTTTTTTTGTTTGTTAAATTAATTTCAATTTTATCTAGTCTGGCTAGGCATTCCCTTTGAGCATTTTATTAATATCACAATGAAGAAACTAGAGATTTTGTAAATCATTCCTAAAATTATTTTGGGGACCCAAGATTGAGTGCAGGAATGCTTCTGCATTAGTGAGGAGCTCCCTACTGACTTTTCTCCCAAAGCAGGGGATTAGGTGTGCTCTATTCTTCTGTGAGCCGTGTTTCTGTGAAAGGTTTTAGTGGAGTATGATGAACAGACTTGCGCTTGATTTCTGCAAACGGCTTAATTTCTTGCTTTCTGGCCTTATTTCCTGTGATTTTGTTCAGGTTTAACATCTAATAATACAGAGGTTAATTTGTAATATACTGGTTACCATAATATGTCCTCAAGGCCAAAGTTAATAGGACGGAAGAAGGGATTGCACATTCAAATCCTAACACTGTATTACTGAAGTTAACGAGGTTTCATTGTCTGCAACTTAGATTTTCAATTTAGGGGAGAGAATATCCCAAGTCTTGCTGTAATCTGAGTTAGTGTAGACACTGGAACTTGTCTGGCTGCTTGGTGACAGGTTTGGGCATCTGGAGGAACAGTTTTTAACTGCACAGAACTCCACCCGTTTGGCTGTGTTTAGGTCCCCAAGGTGTTGACAGGCATCTGTGGGTTGGGCACCATGAGACAGGGGTCTCTAACTCCCCACCCACCTCCTGTTTTGGTAATATCTGTGCCTTTTTGAGTCTGGTTTTTAGGATTAACCAAGAGAATCATAGTTTAGTTTGGCAAACAAATTACATAAACCTCATTAATTTTGCATAACAACTATAACAGTTAAGACTTTAAAGCCCAGATTTTTACTTTCTCTGGAACTAGTTCTTGTTTTGAAATGTGATGATGTGTTTCAAGAACCACTAATTATCACTTTCCCTTGAAAATTCACATGGGTTTATTCTAAGAACTTTTGCCTTCATATTCAAGCATAGAGTCTTTAAATTATTAATTCCGTAAATCATGTAATGTTCCTACATAACTGCTTGATTTTATCCTTAAATAATCCACAGCTTATTTTTGAACACTAGGATTAGAGATCTTACTCTAAAGTTTAGAGAGATATGAATATATGGATATGGCATGATACAGCAGGGAGTTACAATACAGATTTTGAATTCTTGGGCTGTGTGCTGGACCTGCAGCAGCACCCAGGGGCAGCAGTCAGAACCAGAGCACAAAGCCTATGGAGGGATGGCCAGAGCCTCTCTTCTGAACAGCTTTCCGTCTCATGTCAGGCAAAGCTCATCAAGTCATTTCAATTCACAGAAGGGGCAAAGGAAGAGAGGAATAAAGAATGCAGCTGACCACATACTTCTGCTAGGCACTTAGCTGGGTTTTCTGAAGCACATAACCTCTCATTTACTTTATTTTTGGTATTTTTACTTTTTTTGCCCCTAACCAAGCAGTTGTTATTTGAATGATTTGTCATTTGAATGATCTAGCTGAAGCCTATCCTTAGGGAAAGAGGAAAGTAGCCTGCTGTACAAATTAGTTGAGGGCTGGCATTTCAGGAGTCAAGGGGACAGCATACAATATCAGTAACATTTAGAAAACTTCTGATCATTTTGATTGGCAGCAAAAATATAAGCACTAAAGGGAATAACCAGCAACAGTTTTGGTCTTCTTCAGGTATTCCAAGTAGCATTAGACAACTTGTTGACACCACGTATCATTTTTAAGAGAATGTAGGTAGGTGGTATTGAATGTTTTATTTAGTTAAAGGAACAATGTGATGCCTAGGACATTTATTTATATTTTGAGTGGTTTTATAACCTCAATATTTGCTCCATGATCTAAGCTAAATAAAGGTAACAGGCCTCCTGTGTGGGCTGTCAGCCCAGTGCGCAGCAGAGTGGCACTAAATACGGCTCTCATGGGGCTACCAAGACCCACTGCTGAGCAGGAGCTGGGTACTGTGGCTCTCTGCTAAGCCCACTCTATAAACCAGAGAGGGCACTGAGATGTTTTTCACTTCTTTCTTGCCAGAAGGATGACTCAAAATCAAAATGTAAATATTTAGTCATGGTCTGGCTCATGGTCTGCTCAAGGCAACATCATAATGGGCTTGTCAAAAACATTCTTCTAATTGTTTTAATTACCCTAAACAAAAATATGAACTTTTTTTTTTTCTTACACTGTTACTATAGTATATATTTTATTTTTTCCCCTGCTGATGCTGACAAGTCATAGAGAAGCAGGAGTGCTGACAAGTAGGTGGAGCTTTGGGTATTCCTAACATTGAAGTCTCTGTATCTGAAAGACATTGCTGAAAGATAGTGGCCTTTCATACATTTCTGTACTAAATTTAAAATACCAAACAGTTTATGAAGGTGCTCAGAGGCAAAAAAAGAACTTTTATTACTCTATAAAAAGCTTATGCCTCATACTGATCTGTGTGGTTGTTTTACATGCAACATTGCATAATTGCTAATAATACAATGATGATTAAAAAGTGGGACAAATGTTTCTTCCGTGTTTCATTGGGTATGTGTTCTAGTAATTAATAAATGACAACTCTTTTTTATAGCTGTTTTTTATTTTTTCAGAAAGTTCAAGTTTTGTCTTTGTTATGTCATAAATCACATTTTAGTTCATCTTGTAAACAGAGATAAAATTGCCTTCCCAACATATTCCATGTTTTCCTGTGTAATTAACACCTCGTTCACAGTTGTGTCTGCCAGTCAAAGCCCTGTCTTCTTCATCCTGACATTTCCTTGATACTTTGTTTAGACTGCTGTGACTTTAAGTGTCATCCTCAGGATACTTTAAATAAGTTCAAACAGGAAAAGGAAGGTGCTTCAAGAAGTCAACACTGTAGACCATTATAACTCAGAGGGACTATTTTAAAAGTATGGAGCAATATATCTTTGTTTATTACATTATTACCTCTCAGTCTGTTTTTTCTACTTTCTAAGGGAAGTTTACTGTTTCTTTTTCTTTTAAAAGAAAAGTCAGGAAATATCAGTTTCCACCTGTAGAGTAGAGTAGAGATGAGTCCAAAAGTATAGGTGGAGCTAGCTGCAGTCCCCTTTGCTTGTGCACATGTGCCTTTCCTGGTGCTGTGCCCTGTCAGGCTTGCTCAGTGCACTTCATCAATGAGCTGACCAAAGTCAAACCCTGGTCCCCCTTATCCCAGCCGAGATCCCAGCTCCAGCTGGTCCTGGGGCTGCAGGGACAGTGTTACCAGCGCAGCAGCAGTAGGAGCCACTAGAGCCTTGAGCCCAGTCTAGGCACGTAGTCCTGTATTTTGGTTCTGAAAATTTACCCTTAGCTGGCCCAGTTAGAGCCCTGCATGTGCAAGTACTGGTGGGATTAAACAGCTCAGCACATAATATATGTCTCATCTAGTTAAGACCCAGGAATTTGGCACTCCAGATATGCTGAGGTGGTTTTGTTTCACGCTGCCCTTAAAACACTCTGACTGACTGAGGATGTTCATGAATCCGTGGTGGCAGTGTAAAAGTTGTGTGGCACAACCCAATGGCTGGAACGCATCCACAAAGTCTTTGTTCTGTTTCTTCTTCAGCTTGGAGACTTTGAGATACCCACCTCTCTCAGGAGAGTCCTGGCTTCTAGGCAAGAGGTTGCTCTGGAGAGCTGCAAGGTGTGAGGGAGTGGGACTTTCCACCCTTGCTGTCCTCCCCTCAGCATAGATCAAGATTAATGAAAAGCAGAGCATGAGAGGGTTTTCCTACAGATCAGCACTCTTACCTGGAAATAACAAAAATGGATTTCATTTTCTATTCCTAGAATACTTCTGCAGTCTATGTGACACTGTTATTTAATAAACTACAGAAGCAGGCTTAGAAGTAGGGAGCACAGCTTACAGAAATATCCCTATGTGTTAATTGTGAGCTGTCAGCCAGAATTTTCATTTTTTCACTTTTTAAGCCAAGACTTCAGCAGGACAACCCCCTTAATGCTTTAACATTAATTTACATTTGCCATATGCAAGGGAAAATTTACTCTTAATGGATATAATATTTTTTTCTTTGCCCTTTGTACCTAGATATTAGTTATCAGCTGTGTTTATAAAAAATATGTATCAGATTTCAGCTTGACAATAAAGATGTTAATTCCTGTAAATTACTTCAATTTTTATGTTGATCTTCCTAAAAAAAAAACCATATGTGAAAACAGTTGCTCATACTGTACTAAACTCTGTACTAAAAAATTGTAATAGTTACATATGCATGTGTTTTTAGAAACTGAGTTGAAAGTCTCCCTTAAGTAGACTTTTATGGACTTTACATTTTAATGCAAATGATTTTGCATGTGCATTATATATACACAGATGGTAGTAATTTCACAAAGAAGGTGAATTGTTTTTGCAAATAAATCTTTGGCTTTTGTGCTCATTATCACATCCCAGAGAAGAAGGGTATATGTGTTTGTTAATTGGAGTATACTGCACATGTGTACTGACTGTGCAAGTCAGACTGCTGCAGCACAGTTTAACATCCCAAGCTCCAGTGTATTCATACAAATATAACTTCTTTACACCTCATCAAGATACTTCGTTAATAATAATAAACCTCTTAAGATGCACTCATATTTGAGACAAAGCTTTAAAATGTGACATTGTTACCGGGATGGGCATAAAAATATGGTTTGTTATAACTATTAAAAGCAATCCTAGAACTACTCAGATAGTATTGCAGTGACTGATACAGAGTACTCATTTTGAATGGGTTTTGATTTTATTTTTTTTTTTGCTAAAATGTAAGACAATAAATCTTTTCTTAAAATTCTTATTCCAAATCAGTTCCTAACCACAGCATTTATAAATGTCTGTTGTAATTTTTTTTCCAGGGGAGACGAGGCAAACCAGGCCTCCCAGGAAAACCGGGGCCACCAGGACCTCCTGTAAGTAGCTAACGAGGGGAATGGGAAATTTTCACTCTGTCCTCGGACATTATTAACTCTTTTATAGCAGGTTACTGGATCATAGTTGAAAATAATTGATCTGTGTATTTGCTGTATCAAACATCTACTACTGGTAGCCTTTTGTTGCAGAAAAAATTAAAGAACTGGATCCACAAGTAGGAGGGACTACACAGGAGGGAAAGAACAAAATGGAAACTTCAGCAGAAGAAGCAGAAATTGACATTTCAAAGAAAGACTGGTCATGTATGCTAGCTGTGAATACTGTGCTTTAATTCCTTTTGCAAAATGCGTGATGCTCTGTAGAAGAAGGGATAATTTCTGTCTCAGAGGGGTAATTTGAAAGATGAAGGACTGTGTGAAGCATGTGCCAACCGTCTGAATGATGGGGAGGATTATACCCAGCACTGGAATGAGCACTCAGCTGTAGTTCAGATGAGTTGACTGAAGAATTAAAAAGATTAAGAAATACATGACTTTATGAAAGGATTTGTAATATGAAGAACTAAAGGGTTTAGCTCAGATCTAAGAGGTTTGGGATTTTTTTTCCTTCTCTATTTTTTTTTAAAAATATAAAGGATTTAAAATTCAAGTCAGGCATGAATGTATATTAGTCTTCAATGAAAGCAGCCTTTTTTTGGTAGAGGAAGACTCAGTCATATTTGTAAAACTCTCTCTATATTGTATTGTAAAAATGCTATTATGTGCAAATACAAAACAGCTATTTGTGGATTAAGTAAACATCTGCTGCTTTACATTTCTATATAAAACAAAAAAAATTATAATCCCTTCTATTGCTTACCTGGCTAGTGATAAAGGCTAGTGTTTTATGCATCTGAACATTTGATTCATATGCTTCAACTTGGTCTTATATGTAGAGAAGAGAATAATGCACTGCTGCATGGGATACAATGAATAAAATTAAACAGATGTCATCTACCCTTAACCAAACCAAAAACTACATAGATTTCATAAATAATTTTTTCTTGAAAAATGTGTTCAGAAAGAGGCATTTATGATTGAATTCATTTATCCTGCATAAAACCAAAGAGTTAAAAATCCCTCCCTTTCACTCTTTTCCCCTGCACAGTCATATTGAAGCCTTGCTTGTTTGAGTCGTTTGCAGAGTCCTAATGCTAAAATGGTATTGCAGATTGCAGGAGAGCAAACAGGAAAGGAGTGATGCATAATCTTTCTAATACAAGTGCCAAATATAACCTTTAAAGGATAAAAAAGCAAACCATAGCAGAGGTCAATGTTAGACCTAATCTACTTAGCTTTTTGTGAGCTAGTGAAAAGCTGTTTCTGTGTTACAGATTTCTGCCATCCTAGATTTGCTGGCAGGTCAGTCTTGTGAAGATGTATGATCCTTGACAGATATACCAGAAATCCTGAGTGGAAGCTAAATTGTGCTTCTATTACTGAGACGTATCTCAGATTTTCTTACAGCAAGTAGAAAGATCAACTTCGTCAGCATGGCAACGTCACCGCAAGGAACTCTGTATTGGGTTCTGTAGCCTAGTACTACATACAGAAAAGCATTCCTTAAACAGCCATGGCTTAAATATTGGTTTAAAGTATTTGTTTCTGCTATAATAACTCTCCTGATGCACTTCTCTCTTTGGATACAGCTATACCACCATCTTGTGTTCCTCCTCCAAGCCTGAACAGAACACGGAGGAAAGGCATACTCTAAAAGCAGTAATGCCTGCTAACATGCATTGGCAGGATCCCCATATTTCAAGTGCCACAGCTTGTATGCACCAAAAAAAAATCTTTAGCAGGATCCATCATTCTTCCTCTTTTTTTCAAGGCTCAAACCATATTCCAGTTTTTCTGTGCTTCCAGTTACCTTTCTCAGTTACCTGCAGATTTGTTGCTCCATAAGTTGGGCATACACTGGGTACAAAGTGGTTAAAAGATTGACTGAATATGTAAAAATTAGATTCTCCAGTATAAAAAAGTTTGGGTTTTGGCTGATGTTTCAAAAAAATACGAAATTTGTTTTTGAGAAAAAGGAGATTCAGTCATTTATTGTTAGGGTAGCTACAGCATGCAGTCTTGTTGTAATGCAGTTAGGAAAAATGGTATGACCCAAAAAATGTACCCCCAAAAATGTAGACTTGTAAGTTCTTTCCCTTATCTTGTTCTCCCCAGTTCCCCTTATTGGTTGTGTAAATCTCCCACACCTCCTTCCCCTATCCTGAAAAAGGAGTGCTTATCGATACCTCTTCCTCTTTTCCTCCTGCAACTTCATCCCAGAAGATCCAAAGAAATAAAGCTGTGACTGCCATCTCAGCAAAGGGAAAGAGCCTCGTTTTTAGGATCTCCTTTGGAAGCTAATCCACCTCCCCTGCCTCCCTGGTCGCTGCGGGGTGGACAGTGGTAGCAGAGAGGCAGGGGACATAGTAATAATAGCACAGTCTGTGTTTGAAATTCATGAATTTACCTAATTTATTTATCAGTTTATGCCATGATGTATTTAATTTAGAAATTAGAACAGTCAAGTGTTCAGTACTGACAATAAAGAAAACAAAAAGAAAACACAAGAACTGTGAGAAGGAAATACAATACTTAGGGCATTTATTATAAAAGGCAGTCCTAATAACAATGTGTGCATATAGGGATTTGTACGGAAAAGACTGGGGTAAAATCAAAGAAAACTGGAAAGTTACAAAAATACCAGTCAGCATACATGCTGTGCTTTCATGTGACAGGAATGTAAAAGCACCTGCTAGCAGTCAAAAATCTACTTGTCATATGGCAGCATTTAAAATTTTTCTAACCTTCTCTCAATATCTCATTTTTTTTCTTTTTTTTCCTAACGTAATTTCTGGGGATTTTTTTTCAGTAAAATTAATGCTTGGTGTGAGTTTCTAGTCCCTTAACATCATCTGCATAGCTTTGGTTAAAAACCTGTATCACTGTCAGAAACATAGATTGATTGGCATCTGGTAATGAGGCTACTCAGTTAAAGTGAAATAAGCAAGTTAAAGTGGGATTTTCTATTAAATTTCTTCCAGATATCCTTTATTTTGTGTCACTTTTTCCTTATTCTTTCTTTTATATTTTTTTTTCTCTTTGAAGCAAATCCTGTGCTCACAAAAGGCAAGGAGACAATGAGGATTTTTATTGATCAGCTATTTTTGTGAACCTATGGAATACGTTCCTCCTTTGATTATTTGTTTAAAGTCTATTACACATTATAGACTCTTAAGGTGTTCTTTGATTCCCTTCTGGTTCAGAATTCGTGGTATGCATCCTTGCTGTCTGATGTTTTTGAGTACTGTTCTGTTATTTCAGTGCAGGAGAGCCGAGATGTGTGTTCGCACCTGTCTCAATCCAGCGGGTAGTAGCAATTTGTGCTGAATACAGAATCCAAGTAGAGCAGCAGCTCCCTCTAGTGCTTTTTTGACCCTTTCTGTCTTCTCAAGCACCTGGATAGCGGTGAAAAGCTTCTGTTAAACACACTATTCACTTTGCTCTCACAAGCATTCTGAAAATGGTGATTGTAAAATCAATATCTCTGTACCCTTCAAATGTATTTTATGTATTTCCCTACTTCCATTTTCTTCTAAAGTCTTCTGAGAGACTGCTCTCAAATGCTGCAACCCTGCTTAGCATGGCTTTTCACTGAAATTGAAATGCTGATTTTATGAAACAAAAAGAATTACTATGATAATAGGATGCTATGAGGTTGTAAGAACAGCATTTTGATCAGACTGCAGAACTGAGCTGATTGCTTTCTTCTGCCATTTCTGCTAACTAAAAGTCTGTAGGATTCAGCAATACAGATGGGGTCCCCAGCAGACCACAGCTTGTTTTGCATTATGTATAATGCATTGACTTTCTAGATTCCACACCTTTTTATTTTAAAAGCAAATCAAAAGATCACAGAACGAGTAAAACTGTAAGGGATCTCTGTGGGTCATCTGATACAACTTTCCTGTTCAAGCAGGGTTATCTGAAAGCACAGGATTGTGACCAGATTATTCTTGAGTCATCTTCCAGCATCATTCTTCCAGCAAAGAAGACTCTACCACCTCTCTGGGCAGTCTGTTTTGCCATGCTGTCACACACACTGTATGAAATGTATCTGACCTTGGTATCCTTGACCTAAGGATGTACAGGCCCAATTCTGCACTCTTCACTTAGGCAAAGCACTTATATGGTCTTGGGTTGTAGAATTACTATCTGCTTCATTTTGTGTAGTGTTCTGTTAAGAGGAGATAATTTATTTTTCCGTTTCTTCTACTTGGAGAATAGCTGCCTGGTGTCTGTCACTGTGGAGGTTGGGGGTTTATTTATTATTTATTTATTTTTACCTTGAAATGAATCAGCAGGTATACCTATTTACATAGATGGGCTAGAGAACAGAAAAAAAGGAGTTTTACTCATTTCTCCATTGAGGGTTAACTTTATCGTTCCTGTTCTAATTTTCTCTGTCTCTACTGGAACTGTTATGACTGGAGGAATTCCATTTCTCAGTAGCTCCCATTTTAGTGATTTAGCTTGTTTTTAAAATCGACAGTGCTAAACCAGAGTTGTGCTAAAGACTTACACCAATATAACAGAAAAAAAATTTAAAAAATCTTTGAGGTGAGTCTGACTTTTGCCCAGTTGTTCTTTAGTAGAAGTGAAATGTTATCAACACTGGTGGTTTGTAAAGGTAAGAGACATGAGGACTGCCTGTTCTGGCCAAACGCAATCTTGTCTAAACTACCTGTGGCAGAGGTGGGAAAGAAAATTAGTGTGTGCTAAATCACAGGCTACTAAACTGCAATCACAATTTTTCATTCTCTTAAACTGATACATCCACAGCTAAGCTGTTGTTTTCAACCATTAGATGTAATTGATTAATTTCACAATTGCTATGGCTTTTGAAGGTCATCCTTCAGTTTATCATTTACCTTTGCAAGAAGCTGAACTTCATCTTTTTTATCTTCTCAAGTATTTTTGCTTGGAAGATGAGCTTTTTGTCACTCCCTGAAGTTTTAAATTAAAATCGGGTTTCATTTTTATCTGCGTTGCATGTGATGCAATAGAGGAGTTCACTTGAACTTCTTCATTTAATTACATATACTTTTGCTCTTGTGATTCAATACATATGTCAGTGCCCCCAGACTAGTTATCTTAAGTAGCCAGCACTTCACCTTGGAAATTTCATTTCCTCTGCCTCAGGAAATACTGTCATTCCTCTAGCAATATTTTGGAAGTAAGTGAATGTTATCGCTTAATTACAATAAATAAAAAATCAAAGCAATGATAAGTGAAAATTGTCAGTAGCATTTCTGGTTTTCCTGGACTTTCAGCTGCTTCTTAGAAGAATATTGGAAACGCTTACAGTATAGTGTGGGAATGGCTGGCAAAGGTTGGTCATATTGCTTGTTTCTATGCATTAAGTTTTTTTATCCATATCAAAATGTAATTTATTTCTTGTGTCCTATTGTGGCAGACATCATGTTTTCATCATTCTTTCCGTTTGCTCTTTGGGATAGTTATACAATATTGCACATCTGCCCTGGTGAGTTTCATGATGTTTTGCATTAAAATAAACAGAAAAACAGTGTCTTGTTTTAATTGGCAGGTCCCAAAGTGAAATACAGGGATAAATTAACTGTATTGAGTCGCTTGCAGGCTGTGTTCTCTAAAATTGCCTATATTTGAGGTGCAACCAGTGCAATTTACTTGTTACCCGTTTTATGCATGGACTGTGAGATTGGGTAGACTTTTTCAACAGTTTCATCTTACAGAAATGCAGATGAACTATAAAAGTTAAGGGAGGAAAATACATTGTAAACCTGAGTAATTTCACAATTTGGAGCTATTTCCCTTTAAGCACCTGCATCTCTATTCCTGCCTTGTCTGTAGAAATAACATCTGAAACCTGTTTGGCATTTTGGGAAACAATCAGGACACGTTTTCAGTTCTTTTCTTATTCATAGAATTCTACTCTCTGTGTGCTTCACTTCTCGCAATTACACAATTTGATATTAGAAAAAAAGGAAACCCTGTTCAAGTGAGGTTCAAAGTGGCAGATGTTCAAAATTCCCATTCAAAAGCTAGAAACTGCTGGTACAATAATTCTTCAACTGTTGTTAATTTCATTGTTTCTCCTCTTTCAAACCCATGCTGCTGTTTTTGTCTTTTTTATCTATAGATACTTCAGAGTATCTTGTACAACTATATTAGTGTACTGAAGCTGCGGAAGAAAAGAGACTATCGTTTAGGCAAAAAAATAAAAATATTTTCTGTTATTGTACACTTATTTACTAGTTTTTATTATAGAAAAAAATTATGGAAATATAAAATTATTTAATTTATGTCAATTTTTGGAAAATGGAAACACTAAACTGGTAGTGCAAAGGCTGTAGCATAGCCAAGAATTCAACCCAAATTCCTAAAGTTCTCCTTGACTGTCTTAGTCATGAGACATTCCAGGGATTCTTAAGGATATGTTTGTTTTTCAAAACTGTGCCAGTGTACTTTTCATCCTGTCAAAAATTATTTATTTATGTACAAATAATATCTGAGAGTTTGGGGTTGATGGCAGATTCAGCATTAAGTTCTTCCTGGGTGGTATGGCTGCAGCAGTGTCAGATGTGGAAAAACAGTAAGAGAAGTGTGGTACATGATGTCAAATGCAGAGGGAAAGTAAGTTCTTATTATTGGCTCCTTGCAGGTTTTCAGAATTCTCCAGGAATTCTGGATTCAAGGATTCAACACAGCAGGTTTACATTGTTGACATTGAGACATAGACTGTTGTCTAGGCAGTGTCATCATACTTCAGTCCCAGTTCTGGATTGCCAGCTTTATTGCTGATATCAGAGTAAAAATTCTGCCATTAACTTCAGAAATCAGAGTGGAGTGAGATCTTAGTGAAAACATCATTACTATATTGATATTATTTTTAACATAAATTTGAAGTGACAATTCACTTTGAAATAGCATGAATGTACTTTTGTCTCTTCCAGTGTAGGAAGAGAGGGAGTGAAACACCTGAGATGTTTCATGTGGCTTCCAAATTTTCCTGTTATCCACATTCAGAGAAAAGCTGCAGAGGGTAAATTGTAATTATAAAAAGCCACAGAGGAGAGTTGCTCTTGTGCCCTTGTCTGTGTTACATCCAGGTCAATAGGCTAAGTGACTTACTTGAATATATCGTAATCATATTGATACAGTCAAACGTTTCTTAAAGCCACCATTAGTGGTTGTTGTTTATATTGCATTATGTGAGAGCTTCAACTCAGAGTAGCTACACTAATTTGTAAATTTGAATGAGTCATAGTTCATAAGTTCTTTACTGTATTTTCTGTGTTCTGCTCCATCTATCAAAATTAAAAATCTCATTGAGGGCATGATTTTTGGCAGAATATGCCTAAAAATAGGGGGATTTAATGTCCAAAAATGTTTTTTCCCAAGCACATTTTTCAGTGTTTCTGTCCTAAATGTTCATTTGATCAAGAAGTTCCTTTTTTGGTCTTGAATTTCTTGATGAAGTATGTGTGTTTAAGTAAAAGATTGCAATGCTAGTAAAACTAGGAAGTTAATATTCTGGAGAATTCTGTCTTTTCTCAGTTTCATTTCCTGTACTCCCAGGTTAAAAACCTATCTGTTTACTCACACTAGGAGCTGCTTCTGCATCAAAACTTGTACTTTGAGTTAGTGGAAAGAGTTTTAAAATGCTGGAGAACAAAAGTGTTGTTCATATCAGAAGGGAAGTGTATTAAAATTGATATGGATTTCATTTCTGCCTTCTCTGACTGGCAAATTCACTTGAAAATAATTTGCTGGTTTTCAAAATTCAGGGATTTAAAAACTGACTTTCTTCTTTCTCTGAGCCAGAAAAAAAAAAATAATGAAGTTACAGAAGATAAATTACTGTGCACTAAAATAAAAACCAAAAATCTTTTCCATCCCCATTGCTCTTTAAATCCACATATGCAAACATAAAATTAGTTAAATTAAAATGACCTTCTGATTTTTTTTTTTTCCATATAGGGTCCTTCCGGACTAAAAGGAATACTGGATTCATTGAACAAGCATTATAATGAGGTATGGAGATTTGATTTGGTGTCTCTGTGGCTTTATGACTAAGCAGTATTTAAGGTAGAAATGACTACAGTTTTGATCCCTGTGAACCACATTCCAAATTAATTCAAAAGGTAATTTCTTTCCTGCCCCCTTTCTGCATTCCCTTCCAAGTTTCAGTCCACACTCCAGTCACATACTTGCTGTGTCATCTATCTTGCTGCCATGTGTCTTGCCTCCCATCCATCTTCTACTTGCTTGTTTTTGACTGACAAAACTCAAAAAGAAGATGTATGGACCACCTAGCTGTTAGTGTGAAGCACCAACTCCCCATTTCTAAACCTAATTGCTTTAAATGGTACTTGACATTTCTTTCTTGACCAAGTCTGTTATGATCCTAAGAGTAAAATAGAAAGACAAGGAGGCATAATTTTGAAAAGATCAGCCAGCAGTCCATGAGAATTGTCCTCAGGTTTGTATTATGGGCTAATAAAAATACTGTGTCAATTATAAAATCACCTGCAGCTAAAAGAACTTAAAAAAAAAAAAAATTAAATTGCATGGGACTGTATTCAACTTGACAGAGCTTTTACATTCCTGCTGCAGGTATTTCAAGTCATTTAAACTGTGGTACTGTCTGCCACTGTATGAGAATAGAGAAGTTTGCTTAATTGATTTGGGAGAATGTAACCTCTGTGGTCTGAAAACTATTTCATTCAAAGATTCATGATGCACTATTACAGCATTATTTCCCCAGTACAGTGGTTAATGTGTGTATCACAACTTACGTCACGCGGGTCAAGCCTGGAGGGAATTAATTTCTCTTAGTATTAGAATGCGTGAACTATAAAGAGGACGTGCATTCAGGGTATTTTTCATATATAACATTCCCAGATGAGTGCTAAAAGCTTTCCTTGAAGAGGCATTCTGGAATTAAATTCATGTCCAACATACCTTTCCATCTGCTTTTATCACCGAAGTGATTTCACTGATATTAATTCTGATATTTAACCCGTTCCAAATCAGTATATCACCTTAGAAGCATGTATTAGGAATTAAGCATAGAGAATTTTTATGCCTAGAGACTTAGTTTCTGTATTTGGTCTCCAGTTTCATATATATATGTGTTGAAGTTTTATATATTTTGGTTCTCATGTATGGATGCTAACTAGGAAGCAGGCAGCACAGTGCCTGTGGAATAGCAGGCCACATAACTTTCTCAGTCTCACCTGAGAAAGTGGCCTGGGAATTCGTGAGGAGGAATTAAAACAATCCTCAGAGATAGAAGACAGCCTTGCAGGTGCTGTTTGTCTGTTCCTTGTTTTCTTGCAAGAGAAGATCGAGGGGTGGTGTACCCCACTGACCATTGATGGTGATGTGTTAGTTTACTAACCAATAAGAGTTTTACTTTTCTGTACTTTCATGTATCGGTCTATAAAAAAGATCTGAGGTAATAAACCACAGAGAAATTCTCCTGTTCGACTCCCAAGAGAGTCTGTGTCATTCTTCTCGCCGTTCCCAATAGAGTGACACTCATGTTTGGTTTCCTTACCAGTTTCTTTTTCCTGCCAAAGGGCTTTCACTGATGCCAGCACTTTTTCCTCTATTGATACCATGTTTATTGTAACTCATTCCCCACCTCTGCCTTATCAATCTCTTTTATCCTGATAGTCCTTTTAAGGTTAATTCTGGAAGAGGAAACACAAACAGTGGCAATCTCCAGGAAATTATGCACATCTGTGTCCAAAAATCATGCTTCTTATAAGACTCTAAGTATTCTTATGGTGGCTTATATTTTCTAATTAACAGTATTCTGGAAAAAAAATGTAGACCAGCTGGTATGTGTCTATAAATTAATTATCTTTTAAATCCTGGATAGCTTACCAACTTTCTTCTTCCTTCAGCTGTCTAGTTTGAAGATTTTAATGACTCTATCATAAGCAATTAACTGTTCAGCAAGGAAATGCTGTTTGATTCCAGATGAAAGAGGAGTTGGCTTTCTGATTCAAATAGAAGGTTCTATGCATGCAAACTTTAAATAAATATTCAGACCTTCCTAGAGTCAACTTACATCTCCAACAACAAACATATTAATTCCTATGTATTTTATGATGGGAATGGGATATTCCCATTCAAGGACAAGACAAAGGGGTCTTCAAAGAAAAGAACAGCTTCTCTTCTTTGCCCTTTATTCACTTAGGCAGATGTATGTAGCAGTAATTTCTCTTTTTTCCATGCTGTTACATAGTATGACAGAAGCTGATTTTGTCCACAGCACCTTGGAGACATTGAGCAGTCTTTCACATTCCAGTATGGAAAATTTGCAGTTTGCCTCAGTTATTTTTATTGGTAAAATAAAATTTGAGTGACACTTTGAGGGTTTTGAGCTTCTTTACAGCACTGGGAATAGTGGTGTCATTTTCCATTCTTTTATCCATTTTCTCAAGGATGTCACAAGGTCTTATTTCAGTTTGGTGTTTAAAGTGTTTAGGAATTGACAACATTTTAGTAGTTATAGGTATTTTCACACCAATTATCACCTGAGGTTTTTAGTGTAGCTTGTTTGCATTGGTATTTCTAGGAACCATGAGAAACTGACACCAAGAAATGGGGCAGCTCTTAAGACCCATCAAAATTAACAGTGTTTTTTCTGTTTCTCTAACTTCTCTGTTTCTTATCAGATTAATTTCAATTTTCCTGATTGCTGTATGGTAATTTCTGATTTCTGTAATAAGTATTGGTAATTTCACAATGTATTTAAATAATTTATTGCAACCAGAGTTTTTCTGGGTCAGCATCAATCACTTTATCAGAATGATTTTTCTGGAGGCTGGAGTGCAAGCCTTTAAAAGCATAATTTACTTGATCCATGTATACAGTGAAAGAGCAGTATAAATACAATTGCTGATTGCAGCAGCAAATTGTGCTGAACAGTAAACCAAGATCTGCAGTCTCTCTTTAATGAAGGTGAGAGGAACCTGCCGAGTTTAAGTAGCAGCATTGATCCTTAATGGGGTGGGAGACAGTGATGGAGCATTACTTCCCTCCTTCTTCCTGTGTGCCTGTTTTTACATGTGACTATTTCTATATTCCTGTCTTTTGCGTTTTCAACATAAATCAGATTCTTTGCATGTGTTCAGTAAATGCATTTTGTTCTCTTCTTTCAGCCACAAAACTAGTTCTGCCCTGTACTGTATGTTACATTTCTTCAGAGATGGATAAATAATGCTTCAAAATTTGCATTTATATACACTCCAGCCTCTGTGATCCATTACTTGGGCTTTCAAGGCCTCTGTCACCCTTCTTACTTACCAGTTTTCCATATGTAGATATAAGGTCATTTAGCTGAACTTGCTTCTAAATATCTTTGGAAAGGGTATATAGATCAGTTTAATCAAAAATAAATGGTCTTCAACACATAAAATAAACCAAAACACAAAGAAATTGAAATTACAACACAATCTAGTCAGGAAATGTTTCAGAATCATTATAATTAGTAGTAATTTTAGACTATTATGAGATAATTCATTATTAACTTCCTAAGATTTTTTTATTGCTTTGGTGTATTTTACTTACATTCGGTTTTAAAGAGAAAATTACCTATAAAAATGCAAAGAATATAAGGATAGCTATTTGGCCTAATAATCTTGTCCCTTTTTTTTATTTTTTTTTTGCTCCATATATGCAAAAAAACCCCAAAAGTACAACTCCGTATAAATCATAATTTATAGTGTACTCATGGTAACAGACACCTGGATTCTCAGTCCAGTGGTAGTCAACTACTTCTCATCAGTACTCAGGTATCTGGGTATCTGCCTCTTGCTCTGAAGCTGATTTTGATAATTAGGATCCTAACAGTGTTACAAACCCTTAACATCAAGGAGAATCCCTCAGGGAATCAGGATTTCTAAAATAATTATTGGGTTTTTTTCAATTTATATTCAGCTACCATTTTCTGAAAATATTAGCATGGTGTAAATGGCACATTTATTCATTGTGATGTTTTCCCATGTTAGAGCTATGGATACTGGAACATGGCAAGGGAAGTTGGTTTACTTAGGATTCCTGCTCACCCCAGTGCCATGTGTTCTAGGATTGGGATTTCCTAGGTCTTTACTGGATCTCATTTTTCAGAGTTATTGGGGTTTTGGTTTTTTTCCATTGTCATTGCAAAAAAAAATCATGTTTCCCTTAGGAAGTCTGACTTTATGAAAAGGAAACCATTTACTTTATATTTTATTTTGTCTTTAGCTTGTACAGAAGAGTAAATAAATGCAGTGCAATAGCAGCTGAGCAAGTATACAACCCAAACCTCTAGTCCTTGAGTCAGTCTTTAAGAAGCAATGTGAGGAGCCTGTTCCCTCTCCTTTGTCTTACAGCTGTAATAGACTTAAATTAGTTCTACTATTTTTTTCATTTCATAGTGCTCAAAAGTAAAAAGCTTGTTCTTTTTCAAAGTGAGGTTTTTTTTTTCTTTTCTTACATATTTGAGAAATGTAAAAATGAGCATAAAAAATATGTTCTTTGTGTTGAACTTAAAAAAATCATATATTTGCATGGCAATAGTCAACATAGACATTTCCCTTTTATGCTTTTGTTCATTTTTTGCTAGCGTGGCAGAAGTGTGAATGCATGGTAAAGGATGTGTTCTGCAATACACTACCAGTTGTACTGCATAGGCTTTTATTATTCCTTTTCTAGTAGTAAATTAGGACTTCTGAATTTACAACTGGTAAATTGCAATAAATTGTTACTGGAAGCTATTAGTGATGTTTTCTGATCTTTTTTGGTGATATTTCTTTCCAGAGTGATACAAGACTACTGGGAGTACTTGGGACCCCTGGATTTAAAGGCCAGAAGGGAGACATTGTAAGCATTTGGGATGAATTCAAAGAAGTTTCAAAGTGCCTATCCAGCCTGTTCCTGCCACACTTAACACAGTGCATTTTATTTGATTTATCCCAATGGGCTTTGAAGGAATAGATTTTTGAAATGACTGGCACTTTGATCTGAGTAGTCCAATATCCAACTTATCATGCTATCCTGCAGTGGCAGCATGTGATCCTCTCTCCTCTAGTATAAATAGAAAGGAGAAATGCTGAAAGAATTATGTATGATTTCTATACTGCTATACTATCTGAGAAGTAAAATGACCTGCTCTGCCAGTTATGTAGGAAAGATTCTGAAAGAATTGAAGTTCAGAAAATATTTTGGATAGTAAATAATGAATATTTAAAGCAGTTTGTCTGTAACAATGAGGTTTTCTATACCTATGTGTATAAAATTCACATAGACCGCCTCTAAAAATTACATGGAAATCAAATTCTGAATCCACACCATATGGCACTATATTGTTTATAGTTATCAGTCCTGTATAAAGAGCTCACTGATATTTTAACAATTGCATGCCTTTCAAAATTGTAAGAGATAAGACAAGTGCTCTGGATATATGACAGAATTTACATTTTATTGAGAAGCCTGCAGATCTACTGTAGAAAACAATCATTTAAATTCACTTGCATATGTTTAAGCTTGATTTCCATTGTAACAATAGTTAAGATTTTGTGGCACACACAGAACAAAGTACAGTTAGAGAAGAGGAGGAGGTTATTCACATTTGGCAGAATATAATGATTTTAAATATAAATAATTTTGTTAAAAGGGTCAAAAAGGAGAATTGGGAATGACTGGTGCAAAAGGAGAAAAGGTGAGTTAATTCCTTACTTCTGTGCTTATGTGTTTACTAGAAGTTCACTCAATGTACTGATTATAAATGAAATCTTGTAAAATATACAGGAGATCAAGAAAAAATATTTTGGCATGGGAAAAGTTGTCAGTCTCTAAATATCCTTAGTATTTTAATCAAGCTCCTCCTTGGAAGGGTATTTACATATGCAAATAAATTTCCCTGTTTTACCAGCTCACAAAGTCCTTAGCTTTAAAAACATTCAGACTTTTACTTAATTCCAGCTTAAAATTATTTTTATATAAGTTTATGACCAGAGGTTGCCTCATGAATTAGGTGTCAGCCATACTTTTCCAAGTTATTAATGTAATCTTCAATATCTATATGAAAAAACAAGAAGCTTTAAATTATTAAAATTTACAAATCAACATTCTAATTTAGTATGTTTTCGTTTAAGCATAAATTTTACAGTATGATTCAGGAGGTATTACTTGGGAACAGCCGTGTATTTTGCTTTTCTAGGAATGTGTGCTGTACATAATTCTACTGATTAATAGGTGTTTTGCCATTTAGCTGTGAGGCTTCTTGGTTTCTTTGGTCATATCTATATAAATAGTTTTTGTGCAGGCAGAAATATTATTTTACACCCTTGATACCACAGATTTATGATTTTTTGTGTTAGAAAGCACCTGAGTTTGAGAATTTTTTAGATTTGGATGCATGATCACTCTCTTTAGTTCATGTTCCTGACCCTCCCTTGTTCTCCTGCTTGAAAAGATCATAGATGTCATGGTCTTGGCATTAAATCACCATCATCCCTCAAGTAAACTTTTGTAGTCCATATATTTGTATTTTAGACAGGTTTAAAACAACCACATTTTCCAGGACTCTTCAGCAAAACCAGATATATGTTCTATTTACCATTTGAAATATATCTGTTAACCTCTTTTCTACTTTTCCTTAGGGAGAGCCTTCTGAAAAAGGGGACAAGGGAGACCCAGTATGTATAGCATGTTTTGAACTGCTGTGAATAATGAACATTTGAGATTACTTTCATACCATATTCATTCTGGAATTCTTTTCTTTGTAGACATTCATTAGATGCAGGTATTATGTGGGATAGCATATGTATTGTCTCCTTCTTACATGTGCATCAAGGTCTCCCAAGTTATAAATAAAAAACAGAGGTGCCCTGTTTTTCAGCATTTCTGTTGCTGGTACTGTCCATTAAATGAGTTTAGAGCACATACTTTGTTTTATTTCCTGAAGGTTCCTTCTTTCAGCTTTTTCACAAAGTTTTATGTGGCCTGAACTGTACTGTTCTGATGCCACCAGTGTGGCATTTAACATCAGGCTGTTCTCATACAGCCATTTTATGTTTGCATTACTTTTTTCTTACTTTGAGTCAAATTTTCAGACCACTCAATCTGTAAGAGTCTCTTTACCTATTTTACGTATTTGTAATTAATTATTGTCCTCTCTCATGATTTTGACAACATCTAGGTTTTTTTTTTTTATATAAAACTCAAGGTTGCTGAGATATTTGTGGTTAACGTATTATAATAATCAGAATAAGTCCTACTGTAATAATGAGTAGGTTTGGAGATAAATACTGGGTACCAGAAGAGATGTAGTGGTGAAGAATAGGTTTTTGACTGGAAATGCTCTTAAGGAAATGTAGTGTTTTCAAACATTTTTCCTTTAAAACACTGGGGAAACATGCAAAAAAATTAAGTTGCGAGAGGAATGCCTTTCAGAGTTTGCAAAAGGCATCAGAAATTATTTAGTATTTTCTCAATATTTAAGTTTGCAAAATGTATTACAATATTTTAAGGTAGCAAATTAAACTCTTAATTGATCCTACTTTAAATTTCTAACTTCTTATGGTTGTATTTACTGTTTTTAGGGAGAGACTGGAATGGACGGATCAAAAGGAAATAAGGTATTTTTGGACATGTACATACCATATGTGTTGCCAGTATACATAGCTGATACTGGGAGACATAGCAGTAAACTTGGATTTTTTTTGTTTTCTCAAACAAAATCATTAGGGTGAAATGGGAGATCCTGGACCACCTGGTCTTATTGGAAATCCAGGATCAAAGGTAAGTAAAAGTTATTTCATCCAACCATTGCATTCTATGCTGTTATACAAGAGGACTCTGAAGCTATCAACTCTTTAGCTGGTATTAATGGGCAAAGAATGCAAATAGTTGATATCAAAAGTTTGCACTTGGATCATGGCTATTTTATATAAAACTTATATTTTACATGAAGCTCTTGTTGCTCTCAGTGTCACTAAGAAAGGAATATTTAAGCAACACTCAGGTGTCACTTTGTCACTTGAGAATATGAGCATCCACTTTGCAGTTAGAAATCCACTGGTAGCTAGGTCTACTCTCTTTATTCATTAGTGAGGCAAGGAGTAACCACTGCCAGTACTTTATTAGCTCCTTTGTTTAACCTGCTAATAGCAGGTTAAATGTTAAAGCAGCCATGGCCTTGCTTTGAGTCTATGCTGACAGGCAAACCTCAGGAAGTGTGGACTGGATGAGTGGACAGTGAGGTGGATTCAGAACTGGCTGAACAGCAGGTGCCAGAGGACCATAATCATGGCACCGGGTCTAGTTGGAGGCCTATCACTGGTGGTGTCCACCAGGGCTCAATACTGGGCCCAGTCTTGTTTAACTGGTTCATCAGTGACTTGGATGAAGGAGCAGAGATCTCCTCAGCAAGTTCCCTACAGAAAATCTGGGAGGAGTGGCTGATACCCCAGAGGGCTGTGCAGCCCTTCAGAGGGACCAGGACAGTTTGGAGAAATGGGCAGAGAACAGTCTGAAACTCAACAGAGGAAAGTTCAGGAATAACCATAGGGGACAACTTGCTGGAAAACAGCCCTTTGGAGAAAGAACTGCAGATCCTGGTGGACAACACCATGAGCCAGCAGTGCCCTTGAGGCCAAGAAGGCCAATGATATCCTGGGGTACACTAGGAAAAGCATGGTCAGCTAGATGAGACAGGTGATCTCACCCTTCTACTCAGCCATGATGTGGCCACATTCGGAGTTCTGAGTCTAGCTCTGGACTCTTCAGTACAAGAGGGACATGGAGCTCCTGGAGCGGCTCCTGGAGTGGAGAGCAAAGATGATTAAGGGATTGGAGTATCTCTCTTGCAAGGAAAGGCTGAGGGAGCTGGGCCTGTTCAGCCTTGAGAGAAGTCAACTGGAAGGAGACTTCATCACTGTCTACAAGTATCTAAACGTGGTGTTGAGGTTTCCAGGCTCTTCCCAGTGGTGCCAAGCAATAGGACGTGAGGCAAAGGGCAGAAACTGATGCACAGGAAGTTCCACCTGAACATGAGAAAGAACTTCTTTACTGTGTGGGTGATTGAGCACTGGAACAGATTGCCCAGGGAGGTTGTGGAATCTCCCTCACTGGAAGAAACTGCAGTGTGCTCTAGAATGACCCTGCTTGAGCAGGAAGGTTGAACCAGATAACCCACTGTGGTTGCTTCAAACTTCACCCATTCTGCAATTGTGTGATTCTGCAAAGAGAGTAACTTGTGGGAAATAGAAAAGATAGAAAATTCTCAGAAACTGTGTGAAAGCGGATCTCAGAATAGAAGAATGAAAGAATATATATGACATGCAAGGACAGGAAACAATAAGGCTGTGTTTTTGAGCTGTGTAGGGATAGGCCTTAGAAAATATAATAAGCAAGATAATAGTAAAATGGAAGTTTAATAATGAAGCTTTACCCACTGTTTTTAAGCTATAACAAGCAGACATTGTTAGAAGTAAAGTCTACATGTAGTTTTAATGATTGGCTTAAGCAAACACTTGTGAGCTTTTAACATTATCCTATTGGCTAGAAAAATTTTAAAAAGGCATTGTAACCACGAGAATTTGGCTGTTGCTGTAATGGCACAAGATTTCAACATCTTTCATGTCTCACCTTGTACCAATGAGGCTGATGCTGAATGAAAAGCTCAAGGACTGCCTACCTGCAGCCCTGTCCTGTTACTGATAAGTAAAGATCAGTAGATAAATAAAGTATATAAATAAAGAACATTAACTGAAGCACAAATGTTCTTGAGAATCTCTCATGATGCCTTGAATTGTATCAAAGATAGAATCAGAAACTATTAAGTCTAACTACCACCCAACACTATTCATATTGGGTAGTACCTGAATTTTAGATCATAAAAAAGAAGGCCCAGTGAGAATGAATGTGGTTATCAAAGCCAAAAAATTGTTGACTTAAAAATAATTCTTGAAATCTTGATCTATTCTTTTGTTATGTCTTTCCCTTTAGGTATTCCCTTTGTATTTACTTGTATTTGCTTGATATATATACACTTTGGATTTTGTACCTATCATTCTGCAAAACTTATTGAACTAAATGTTAGAGTAAGGGAGAATGAACAAACTCTGTACCTGTGGAAGATAATTCTTAATGCCTGATGTTTATATATATTTATATATAAGAAAGCTTTATATTACAGTAGTTGGTTGACTTTTACCTCAGGTTCGTATTATATCATTTCACAGGGACTGCAAGGCCCTCCAGGACCTGTTGGACCCAGGGGACTGCCAGGAGAAGTTGTATGTATTGTGCCATTTCTCCAGCTGTAGCTGTGAGGTGTGAGCTGTTAGCCAGTGAAGCTGTGCCACAGAAGTTACCATAGCTCCTTTTGTGGGTGGTACTGTAGCTATCAGGTGTTGAAGCACAGCAGGATGGGATGCCTCCCTCAACAGGCCATTATCTTGAGTGTCAGTAAACCATCTATATCCTGCTTCTGATGCTGTTTGACAGCCTGGAGTGGATCTGGATATTGGGGTCACTGAAATGAGAGCTTTTACCCTTCTATCTCTCTCTTGTTCCCCTGTTAGTGTTATGATCGTTGGGTCCTGGCTTCCCATTCCAGCAGGGAGATCATTGCTTGGCTGGGATGGTTAAGCAACAAGTTGTCTTGGTTTGTGCTGTGCAGCATCTGGCAGCTACCAGGCACAGATGTTACTGGGCAAGGCTCCCCAGAGCCTTGGCGTGCTTGTAGGTGTGAAACTGGTGGGTTGGGAGTGTCAAAACACTGGTACTTCTCAGCAGAATTGGAATGTTCCTGTAGTTTTTGCACTTTTGGGTGCCTACCCTACATTCAGGTCTGTCAACTGATTGGGCAAGGTGATGGAGGTCTTCTTCATGTTGGTTTTAGTGTCCCTGTAACTATTATGCCACTGGGCAGCAGCCTGATGGGTCTCCTGGCTGGTTGGGGTTTCTCAGAATGGTAGGCACCTACCCCAAGATCCAGCACACTTGTAACCCTTGTACTTCTGGGCAGGAAGAGCAAGGGTAAAATGTCAATCCAGTCTGGATTCTCTAGGAAACATGTCAAACTATTAATCACCATTATACTAAACTTGAAAGTGCCCTGGGCATTTGATTTGACACCCACATACAGCAGAAGCCTCTCCTGGGACAGTGGCTGTCTGTCTCCCTTCCAAATTTTGGCACAATCCCTCTTTCAGCATGCAGACAACTATTTTCTGCCTAGTTCCCTGTGTTTCAGGCCACACTAGTGGTGTCACATTACCTAAGAAGTGGCACCTACCCTTTGTTCTTGGCTCTTGTACCTCCCTTCTTCCATAAACCATAAAATGGCTTTTAAATATCATTTAATAAATAGAAGGTAAGAGTGATTAAATCCAAGCAGTAGATCAAAAGTGGACAATAAAAAGCTTAGGTTTAGCCTGGCAGCTCAGCCACTTACTTGAAAAGGACTGGGATTGCAATCATTACTCTGTGTGTGTGGTTTTAGTTTTTATCTTTTTTCTAACAACAGAAGCATCTAGAAGCTAGTGTTGCTGCATTTTGTCTTAAGCCTTTCCACACATGCCCTGAGACTAGATTGTGGAATGAGATTTTTACTTTGAACAGACTTATAAGCCATATACTTTGTTAATATTAAAATACCCATCTGAGTAGTACAGAGCTGGCAGACTTTTTATTGGTGTTTTAGGGATATAAGTGAGGTGATCAGTAAAATACAGCATCTTCAGCTCTTGACAAGGGAAAAAAACACTAGTATTTAGCTTTGCATGTAGTCATATTATACTGTGTTACTTATTGACCATTTTATTATATCTCATTTCCTTACTCAGTTGAGGCGTATGTTTTTTCAGGTGTGTCTGATTTACCTGATCCAGAATTTTGCAAGCCTTATCTGCTGTGCTTCTTTTTATGTATAAATCACCAATCCTACTCTGAAAGACAACAAAATACTCATTTCTCTCTTGCTTGTGTTGCCATCATCCCACTTGAGTTCATAATTGCTACTTTTGAAACTGCTGTTCTGATGATCTTTGGTCAAGGGAACATTATGAACAGATAAATATTAATTACAGTATATGTAAGTCCTAGATGATCCTGAAGACTCCCATCTGTGCACACAATTCTATTATGTAAAAACATAAATTTAAATGTATTATATAGACATTGTGCTTAGCTATAAGCTCCTTGGTTTTTTATCTTATAAAGATGAAACATTATAGATTGAAAAATACATTTCATTTTATGCAGTATAATGATGATTATGAAAGTTTGAAAATTGTTTTACATTAACTTACATCATCAGAGTCATCTAGCAGATAAGAATTACTTCTTTTCCTAAGAAACCACTTGAGCTTGGTTCAACCAAAAAAAGAGATAAATTTGTGAAATCCTTAGAAAATAAGAGAGAGAGTAGAGTCTATACGTATTTTATGCCAGTATCAAAAGTGGATTGGGTAGGCCATGACCAGTAAATGTAAATTTCCATTTCCATAATGATTTTGTGTTAGTATAAGCAGAATATTCTTCATTAAGGTACTTTATTTCCTTTTTTATGCTTTTAGTTTGGATGACTAGGTGGCTAGGTGAAACAAGTAGCTGTCTGTCTGTATTAAGTACAGAATGCAGCAGAGAAAGCAAACACAGCTGCTGAACATTCACTACTGGCATGAAAACGTTGTCATCTGTCATATGTCAGTGTGCACAAAACTGTGTTTTACACTGAGAAGAAAAATTAAAACCATATGTGTTTCCTTATCTTTTTCTTAGGGTCCATTTTTCAGTCCAGCTTAAGTTTCATACTTAGATTTTACTGTTCAGTTTGGGCAATTTTATCCTTTACTGTGAAAATCACCGGTATTCTTAATAAATTCCTTGACTAAATAGTTGGTTGAATGACATTGAAGGGTCATGGAAAAAGTTTCCTGTATTTGTTGCAGTATAGTGAGAGAACTCAATTAAGCCTTACTTACTATTTAAAGAATTTCTATTTAGATTTTAATCTTTTTCATTTATCTTAATTTCTCTGCATTTAGAAAAATCCTTCATGAAAAAGACAAGGGAAAACACTGAAGTTAAAATGTGAAAGATGAGAAGATTTAGACAAAAGAAAAACTGGAACATACTTTATTTACTGAAAACCTTTGACTGTCTATTACATATCTAAAACATTTAAAGGGATTTGTTGGATTAACTAGTGTGAAGGAGTAGGAATTCATTGAGGCTTTTAAGATACCAATTTGAATAATTAACTAGTGCAGGAAATCATGCAGCCCTCTGTGGGCAAAAAAGATGAGACACTCAAAATTCAAGTTTTCATGTGCTACTGCCTTCCTTGAAAAAACAGTTGATTTTCAAGTCTTGGAATTACTTTGAAATAGAAGAAATAAATATTTTGTTTTCTACCATTCTTCCCTGATAGTGTCCAGAAAGTAATCTTGATTATTACATTTTAACTTAAAGAAAAATGATGTATATATTTAATTAAGGAAGCATTCATTACCTTGTAGTTTTTAACATTTGGGGTCAATAGTAATGTACAGTAAATATTCCAGTGTAAACTAATTTTCATCTGTATTTTCTATAACCATTAAGGGAATAGCTATAAATACATACGGTTATATTTTTATTAATTCCAGGGCTTACCAGGAGATCCTGGGGTACCAGGAAACCCAGGAATTAAAGGAAACAAGGTATGTTTTAAGTGGTTTTATTTAAAGATGATATGTTAAAGCATTTTAAATTTTCACTTCAAGAGTAGCCTTCCATTCTTCTGTAGTGCATCTGTGTGGCTGCTGTATGAAGTGATTTTAAAATGTACCAGCAGCAACCCCCTGTGTCTTGGAGAAGAAACATCACTGCATCTGGAGATAGCTCAGGCCAGTTTGGCAACCCAGTTGCTCTTTAGATGAATAATTTAAGTAATATTTCAAAGAGGTTGGACTTATGTTAAATCTGTGCTGTGCAGAAATGTCAGTTCAGGTCCTGACTACAGAACAACCTTTTCAGTGTAGTGTCCTACCCAGACTAATGTATAAAATCCCACTTCACAGTCACACATATTCATCTTGGCAGAGCTCTAGGGCAGCTACACTGGCTCAGATGTGAGCCAAGGCTGGATCTCCTTAGGACATTGTATTTTGCTTGTAGAAATCCCTTTGTTAGAATTCAGCCGCATCAGCAAGATCTAAAAATTATGTGTGTATGTAGTGAACATAAAGAAGGAGAAAAAATAGGTTGTACAGGTGTGCTCTGAGCTATGTGATGTGTTGTGGTATTTATACATTGTGAGGTACAAGGGAAACCAATAAATTCTAGTCTGAAGAAGTGAGCTGAAAGAAAGGCAAAGAAAATAACTGGAACAAGGACAAATACGTACTCATCTTGCAAAATGGGAAGTAGTGGATTCAGGAAGAATCACAAAGGATGTTGCAGGAGCCTGCAAAAGACAAGAGGATAGCATAATAAAAGGCACAATTTTACTGTGTAAGCAGCAGGAATTTAGAGATATGGAACAAGAGACACTGCATGTATTGAAATAAGGATCAGAAGTGTAAAGAGCAATACACTGAAGACCCCAGGTTTAGCACTAGTGGTTGATAGCTGGGGAGAGACAGCTGTTGTTTCAGCTGTTGCTATGGTTCAGTTGGCAGGGTTTAATGATAACCTGCATGTTAGGAGCCTGGGGAACAAGAAATGTAGATCAGATGCATTGCAAGCATGGAAAACCAGGAGAATACTAGTTATTATTAATGGTTATATGATCCATGTCTCCAATTCTGTAACTTTTTGAAGGAAAATATGAGCGTTTTTTTCCTTCTCTATATCTTCTCAAAGCACTGGCACTTTCTATAATAAACGTGTTAATATTTAGAGTTTTTTCATAGGGGAAAGTTCTCGCATTTCAATTAATGATTGAGATTTATTTTGTAGGGTGACCCTGGTGGAATCATAGGACCACCTGGACATCCAGGTCCAAAAGGTGATATGGGGCCTCCTGGACCTAGTCTTCCTGGAACACCAGTAAGTTCAAAATCTGAAAAGACTTTCATGGCTTTATTTTCTGCAGGGGCAACTAGGAAAGCATTCTCACTGTGCAATGAAAGAAATCAGAGAATGGTTTGTGTTGGAAGATGGCTTAAAGATCATTTAGTTCCAAGTCCCTGCTATGGGCAGGGACATCTCCCACTAGAGCAGGTTGCTCAGAGCCCCATCCAACCCGGTCTTGAGCACTTCCAGGGATGGGGCATCCATAACTTCTCACAGCAACCTGTTCCCGTGCCTCACCATACTCACAGTGATGAATTTCTTGCTAATAACCTAGCCTTAGTCACTTCCAGTTTAAAGCCACAAAGCAAGTATCTTTTATTATAATTTCAAAATCAAAATATATTTTGCAGCAGTATTATAAGTGCACTAAAATATAATCTAGAAATAGTGTAAGTATCACACATGATCCTACTGACACTGGCACTAACAAGGAAGACATGTAAATTTGTCATACTTTATTTCTAAGGGCTGTCTAATTTTGGCCATTAAATTTATCTAGTCTCTTGGATTTCAAAACATAATTATTTTTTTTTCTTGGTTTTTTCGTGTTTTGTTTTTGGGTTTTTTTTAGGGTCCCACTGGTGTTCCTGGAAACCCAGGTCCAAGGGGGCCAAAGGTATGCAAAATACATTATTTCTATTTCTTAAAAGATTTTTTAAAAGGTAGTATGGTAGTTTATATTTTCAGAGCTGTTGTGATGGAAAGTCTTGTACCTTTCACAGGGAGAAAGAGGACTACCTGGTGTACAGGGAGCACCTGGGGAGATGGGGCCCCCTGGAATAGGCATTCAGGGATCACCAGTAAGTAAACCAACACGCTGAATTTGGGCTTCTCACTGTTCATGACTCAGCAACTGCAATAGACAAACAAAGCAAATAAAAAGCCATGAACTACCTTCTGGCCTGACTCCCAACTCCCAGTTTGCTTCAAGGGTTGCTGTGTAGTTTAAATTCAAACACGAGGCAAGTTGACGCAGACTTCTAAAGCTTTCATAGTAAATCATTTGTACAGCCGTAATAGTTTCAGTTATTCAGCTTGTTTCCAAGGTTTCTTTCTTTTTTAATGCCTTTAAACAAAGCCACCTGCAGTGTCTTCAGAGTATTCAGTATAAAAATTTGCTGATGTTGATGGTGTACCTGGTTGGTGGTACATGTTATTGCAGGAGTTTCACTCCAGTGACTGAGGCAATCTTTCTTCAGTCAACCAATGTGTACCACCTGATACAATTCAGTGTATGGACACTGCTCTGGTAAAAAGGGAAAATATTTGTGAAAAGTGACTAGACATTCACCCTGAATGTCTTAATCTAAAATAATAATACTTAAAGATAATTTTTTCATTTACAATAATTTCAAATCCGAGTTTTAAAATTACTCATTTATATCTAAATTACCCATCTATATCTAAATTATATCTAAAGCTTTTTTTATGAATATTCTTGCTAAATATCAAGTTTCACCACAGATCATTAATTTTTGGAAATGCTTGCCCTAAAAAATGGGCGTTTGAAAAGTCTTGAGGTCTCTAACTTTGGTATAATTACATTTGGATTTAAAGCCAAAGCTTAAAGCAAGTCTTTCTTAAAGTGAATACTGCACAAGTATCACACATTCAGTATTTTTTAATAAAGTTAATCTCTCTTATCCCAGAAACTGTAACTACTGATTATTTGGAGTTTTCTTACAGGGTCCTATAGGTCCAACTGGATCAGCAGGTGTGCAGGTAAGGTATAAGATTTCTCTTTAATAGAAAAAGCATTAAATTAGTTTAAGAATTTTGCGGGAAATGTATTCTTAAATCCTAAATGGCCTACTGTGCTCTTAGGGCCCTAGGGGACCTCCAGGACTACCAGGAGCTCCAGGTACCCCTGGTATTAATGTAAGTGACAGTTTTATATATATACAAGGAAAAATAATGTGTACTTCATCAATGATTTAAGGCCATCAAGTTTTATGTTTATTTCTAGGGCACTCCAGGAAGAGATGGAAAGCCAGGACTACCAGGCCCTCCAGGTGATCCTGTACGTATACAGGAAAAGCTTTTGCATTTGCTTTGGTGGAAATATTTTAAATTTATATGCGATGAGATAGCATAGCAAGACTAGAAGAACCAGTGATATGAATATAAAGCAGAAATACTTACTTGGGAAAGACAGGAAAACGGCCATGTTATGTACCTTGGCCTCAATAAAACTGAGACTGTCTTCATGATGTTTCTTTAAGCTAGAAAAAAATGCTTAGAATTAGTTATCATGTAGTTAATGCTTATCAAAAATCATCTGAGTGTCTCTCAGCAGATTATTGTCAAACTTGGAAAGAGAGGTCTCTTCCATTCTCAGTTCTTGTCAATGATTTAATTTGATTTGGGTAAGTAGATAAAACTCTGAAATTGGAGTGGGAAAGATTGCTTGTTCTTTGAAGATGTAATCAAAATTCCAAAGCTGTCTGAAGTCAACAAGATTTAACTCAAGACAGATGAGGATAAAGTGCTTAATAAGGAAAACCTAAATCCTGAAGTAGAGTAAGTCTGGAAGGTACAGCACATTGTAAACTAAATGTAAGTAAAATATTTGATGCTACTATTAAACAGACAGGTCTAAATGGCAAAACTCACAAAAAGGATAATTATTGCCTTTTGCTCTCTTGAAATACTCTTCTCTTTCGAAAGCATTTTTTCAAGGAAGATGTAGCAAGCAGGAGCAAATCTGGAGAATTAAGGCCATTTTAACGTTTTCAAAATCCCAGCATAAATCATACACTTATTCAGAGATCAACACACAGATTTATGGCTGTAGAGAGTGTGTTTGCAGTCAGGCTGAACTTGTCTTACACACAAAGCAGAGGAGCTGTGTGCCACAAAGGCAGCCACTTGCTCTCATACACATGTGCCCTTTGCAGCTGGGGTTAGGACCCTTTCACACTGAGGGTTGGGGTTCTGTACCTTACAGTGACAGAGCAGGTAAAAATAAGAACTTTAGAAAAGAGGAGAGATGGGGAAATTACACTTCTAGTCCAATAGGAAGAACAGGTAACATGGTAATAGCCTGCCTCTTATGAAAATGTCATAGGGAGAAGCGTGAAAAGTCAGGCCATGTAGGTTGCTGTTTTCAAGTCTTGTCACAAGTTTTTAAGAGTAGCTGATCCTGCCTATGTACAGTTTACCCCTGTGCAAAGGATGGACTCACACCTTACATAACTATGTCTTTAAGTTGTGCTAGGTAGTGTTGTCTCACCCTAAAAAACACCTCAGTATTCTTTCAAAGGTGGTTATGCCACTCTGTAAATGGTGTACTCATGATTATATTTCTGGTTAATTATATTCAGCAGTGCACCTTTTGAGCTGATTCAACACTCATTAAGTGGCAGTTTTTCCAAATATGCTAAAAAGTGCCTGAGTTTTATTTTTCTTCTTCAAGAAGAAAAGATTGAAAGAATTGAAACAGGCTGAACAAAAACAATTACCTTATTTTGAATCTGTCCAATTTTATAGTCTGGCCAGGATGATTTTAGATTTAGCAATTGCCAGGAGGACAATTAGTAATTGAAGAGTCTTCATTTGTGAATGAAGCTGATGATAGCCAGGGCAATGTGTTTTTTATAGGGAGTCTTTAAATATAAGTTTAATGGCAGGTCTTGGAAATCCGGGATCTGTTTCAGTGCAGTATAGATCCACTGATTGATCTTTAAATGAGTCAGCTTTAGTATTGGTAGCAATTTAGCTGTGGCACCAAGGAGTTACACACTAATTATTAATGTTTAAAGGCAGGAAAAAAATATTACATGCATTGCTTTGGTTGCTGTAGCTTATTTCCAGTATCTGAGCTAATTTACTGGAACTTGCTTTGGTATCTCCAGAATTTGTGCTACAGTTGACAGTAGAGTATAAGCCTAGGAGAAAGGAGGAGGAAAACAATTGAAGATACTCAAGTGAGAATACAAGACATTCCAGTAACATTGTTGTTGCTGATGTGCTACAAAAACAATAATATTATTATGTTCAGGCATTACATTGTTGTCATGGTTTGAGAAATTTCATTGCATTACATTGCATTTGTGGTGAAGACTTACAGTTGGTAGGTTGGATAGACTATGATATTTAACAATACCTGAAAATCTGCTTTTTCTTTTGAGTTTTCATTAAAAATTAGCTTCAAGCAACATATATATAATCAGCTCTATGTGTAGCAATATTAAGTTCAGAAGTGATGAAAACATGTCAGAATTAGCTGTGCTTTGTAAAACATTAACTGCAGATGCCTTTTTTAATTTCAGGTTGCTCTTCCACTTGTGGGAGACATGGGTGCTATTCTGAAGGTAATTTTTTCAGAGATTAAATATCTTTTTTTGCTATAAACATGCTTTTTAAACAAACACATGCACTTAAGAACTTCTGAAAGTTCAGCTCTAAATTACAGGGCTAGCCTAAAATGGTGTTGTGATTTTTGTTGATTTTTTTGTTTTGTTTTTTAAAAATATGCAGGGAATGTATTTTATAGAAATTTTGCAAAATATTGTTTGAACAGTATAGGAGGTAATAGTCAGCAAGTCTCTGTTCAGCATATCCAGACCAAAGTATGAATCGCTACAAATACACTCTGTTCTCCACTTTAATTTGTAGCATTAATTTCAGTAATATACCAAATGGGGAAAATAGTCTCAAAACTTCTAAGATATTATTTTGAAAAATAACGAGATTTGGAGTGTTCTGCAATATTCTAAAATAATAATTGTGCTTGGGAGGATTTCAATATGAAACATACACATAATTTCTACTGTCCTTTATTAATACATGTAAACAAACTTAGGGTTTATTAACTTTCTCATTTCCAAATCTGATTTATTTTAGGTCTTTCTTTCTATTTGTAACCGTATTGTCTTTCTGCTGTACACACTCTTCTTGTCAGAGCTCTCTCTCTTGCTGGTTCTTGATGCTTCATTCTTCATTTCTCAGTGTTTTGTGGTTAGGACTTATATATGACTGCAATTTAGCTGGCAAATGCTTCTCTCAGCAATGCAAGGGTCATTTGCTTTCAAATACCTGAACACAGGTGTCTCTGGGACTATCCAAAATTAACCTAAAAGTGTGTTAGCACTATTTCAGTAGAGAGTGTAAGAAACGGGCAGGAAAACAAGTCTCTCTGAACAAGTATAGAGTTTAGAAGAGAGCAAGGACAGAAGAGAAGGCTTTGGGGTACAATGGAGGGCTGGTCAGAAGGGCAGGAAGGAAGCCATGTGCTTCCTTCAAATCAGTCTGCATAGATCACATCTATGTCATAAAAATATTTGTCACTTCATTTTCTGTCTGCTCCACAGGGTGATCCTGGCACAAGAGGTCCTCCAGGCATTCCTGGTAGAGAAGGACCAAAAGTAAGTTTTGAAGAGTGTACTTCTCATTGCTTTGTTTCTTGTTAAAAGCAAAAGGCCAGGTTCTTACCTTTGTGAGACCTGACTTTTTTGTCTGACCTGTATCCCTGTGGCATTGAGGAGCCTAAAGGTTAAAATTATTTTTATGTTTCAGGACTCTTCATGTGTCAGTTTGCCTTTTCTCTAGGTTCAGTGAGCAAAATAGCCTGAGTTGTATCTCAGGTGCAATACCTTTTCCGTGTCTCCATTAAATCTGGCTCAGATCTGACTGCCCAGCAGTGTTTTGCTATTTATAGACTCATTTTAGGTGAGTCAGTCACATGAGAATCCTGCAGCAAGGAGGCAAACTTTCCATGTCTCCTCCAAGTGTGCAACACAGCTGGACCACCCTGTGCCTATGCACCCTGTTCTCATGGGAGTAACCATTGGGACTCTCATGGGAGTCCCAGCCATTTCCCTGGGACTTGAGGTTTCACTGATGTCCATCAAAATCCTGCTTCACTGGGATCAGATAAAAAGCCATAGGGTTTGACACATGGATGTCTCCTATCGTTGAGACTAATTCCATGGAAGTGAACCTTCTCCTTTTCAGCAGGAATGCTGAAAGCTCTTTGGTGTTAATGTCTCCATCTTAAGGTCTTTTGAGTATTTTGCCTCCTAGGTACAAACCACTCATTTCCTTTTGCCTTGCTGGAAGGTATATTTGAAAACTTTCGGTTAGTTTTGAACCTTTGCTTTATGTTTTAAGCACTATGGCTGTAAGGGCATCATGCTAGCATGTATTGAATGTGGGTTATAAAATGCCCTACAGAGCATGGAATTCATTGTTCTCTGATAGAAAATATTTGTTTAAATGTTATGTTTTCATAGGGAAGCAAAGGCGAACGTGGGTTTCCTGGGCTTGCGGGAGAAAAGGGCGATGAGGTAAAATTACTTGATTTCCACAGTGATAATGTTCTTATCTGAACCTGAGTAAAGACATAGACTGAAAATGAAATACACAGGATGTCATTTAGTTCTTTAAAACTGCTGAGGTAGTAATGTAGTGCAATAGCCCTTGATTCTGATTTTTCTACAGGATTGAATGTTATTATTCAACTAAATAGCACCTATTTAATTTTCATCTCTGAGTTTTTGCTCATTTGTATATTTTAAAGCCTCACATACATTTACATGCTAATTTTTAAGGATATATGATAGAGCAATAAATAGTCTAATGCCAAATATTTTCAGAAAACACTTCATATCTATAACATATTTGCTTTCATTTTTTTGGTTCCCCTTTAGAATTCACTTTTGAAAACTTTCCATTAAGCAAATAACCTGATGGGAACTGTAATAGCAGCAACTACTATTAAGTGGAAACTGAAAAAATATTTGAATAGACCGAATTTAAAGTATTTACAATATTTTGCATCTTATATTACATTTTTAGAGTTACTTTTATGTCTTTTTGGAGAAGGAAAAAAAGCCAAATGCCTTGTGGTGCCAAATCCAAAATAGCTGCTGTAGCTTTCATTTTGAATTTAAATATTTGCAGGTAACATTTCAAGAGCAATATCACTGAAAAAAAAAAAAAATAAAAGTACATCCTCACAACAGAAGTTATTAAGAAAATTAATATGGACAAATAAATTAATTTCTTAGTGGCCTCAGCTAACTGAGGAGTTAAAATAAGTAGCCCATTAAAAAAAATGTGGTGAACGCTTCAAAACTCCAAAATACTTAATTGGGATTAAACACATACTAGTCTCTTAATTTAGGAGCACCTGGAAAATACAAAAGGAATTAAGAGTGTATTAATTGGGAGGTTTACAATTCTTTATAAGCATCTCACATTTCTTTGGCACTAAGACCATGTTATCTTAAGAATTTTTAAGGAGTAGTAGAATGAGAGAATAAGTTTTAAAAAAAATTTGTTAATCAGGATCCTTGACTTACAGAAATAAACAGTTATATGAGAAAAAAAGCTGCAGCTCCTGCTACTGTTTTGCCCCAGAATCTGGCATGTTGTCAGCCTAAAGTATCATGCTTATCTTTTTCTTTGGTTTTACATGTTATATAGAGCTTTTTAAGACTTTGCTTCTTAAAGAAGCAAGTGGTTCCTGAGGTGGAATTCAGAACATATTCCCTAGGAGGATGGGGCAGCCATAAGCAAATTTCATTCAGAATTTACTTTAAAAATACATGGGAAAGTAACACTTACTTTGTGTGCCATATAGGATACCTCTGCCAGTCAACCCTAGGAGGATAAGGCATTAGCAAAACAATTTTGACAATTCAAATACTATTAAACAGCTGAGACACAAATAAGATATTGCAGGGGATTAAGAAGGTAATAAGGTAACAGCAAGTTTATGACTGGCAGATTTTTTTAAAGGTGTCTAGAGAAAATTCATTGTATATTTTTCATTAATGCTGTGCTAATAAGTTTGTTTTTCATGTTTTTTCACCATTTGAGGGCTGGTGAGCTGCCTTAGCTCTGGTATTTTCAATGCTTTGCAGCAGCTTTTGATTATGACATGTTGACGGTGCATGTGAATCTTTTTTTCATAAACACGGATGAAAACATTTTAAAAGTAACTTCTTTTACAAATTTTAAAATTTTTATTTTAATTATTCTGTTGGAATGGGAAGAAATGGGAAAAAATATAGAGAAGCATACCTGAAGCCCTCTGAAATACGCTGATTGACTTCATATGCTTTCCAATCATCCTTTAATCTTTGTTGAACTTGTTATCTTCATTTTCAAAGCACTTCTTTTTTTCAGGGGAGTATTTTTTTAATATCAGTAATAAGAATTACAGAAAATGTTCCTTTGATTTCATTTTAATTTTTCATGTAAATATACCATCCGAGTAAATGAGTCCAAAAGGAACAGAGAGCACATTAGCAGTTATCTTGCCACTCTGAAAAGCTTCAGAGGTGGATCAATGTCCTCTGTGTGTAGGAGCAAGAAACGAAAATCAATGTCTTTCCATCTCTACATTTTTTCTAATTTATTTCTCACTGAAGTTTTTCCCACAGTCTCTCCCTCAGAGCACCTATTTCAGGGTTCCTGACCTCTGTGGCTTTCTAGGCTGCTTCCTTGGCCATTCCTTCTTTTCAAATTAGAAATAAGCCTTTTCTGAGGGGTGTTTTCCTGTCAGAGGATGGACAGACAAAATTAGTCACTGCTTGGAAGAATCTGTTTCTCTTTGTGGATTATAGGGAGAACCAAGAGCGTTAACTCTCGTTAGTACATGACTTTTACATGTCTAAAATTGCACCTAAGCCTGGTGTGGCGGTGGAAAGACTCTCAGTGACATACAGGCTTGTCTCAAATCCCACCTCTATCCCCTGAAGTGAGTTGCACAGCTGTATGTTTAGTAAGTGGATACTGGAGTCCATTGATTTTTCAAATAGAATACAAGCAGGAAAGTAGATCATTAAATACTATGTAAAATGTCATGTTCAATTACCAAAAAGCCAAACCAAAAACGAGGCAGAAAGTACCATTTCATTCAGATACCATCAGGTAATATTGAGAAGCCTGAGTAAATGTCTTCTCACCTGAAAGAAAAAAAGCCTTTTAATAAAAGAAAATAGAAAATTAATCTTTAAGGAAAAGCTTAACAGCTGTTCTTATCTGCACAACCAAAGACAAAACTACGTACAAAATATAGGCTAAAAATGTTAAAGAAATGTTGAAGGACAAGTGGTGTTTATCACTCAAGCAAGAAGCTGCCTCTGACCTGGTTCAATGATAACCTGGTTCTCTTCTCTGCCTGGTGGGGTGGTTATTTTTTTAGCCATTATGAAGAATAATGCCCACATTTTAGAAGAAAATGCACTGTAATACAAGTACAGTACTGCTGGACAGGCTGAATATAAGTCTTTTTGCAGTATAAGTGGGAGAGGAACTTTTAGACATGTTCTTTTAATTTCCAGGGTCTTCAAGGTGCTCCAGGACTGCCAGGTATACCAGGACCCAGTGGCCCATCTGTAAGTATGTGGTATCAACAGTGATCTGATTTATTTCTGTAGGCGTTGCTATAACTGTCTAGTCTCTGGTCCTTTCTTTAAACTTTTAGGAGAGTAATAATAAAATCTTACCCATTCTGCCTCTAGTAAAGTAAACAGTACTGGTGTTGATGTTACTGAAAATATTGTAATTGTCTGGACTCAAAGTTTATGGAACTTAAATAGATTTGAAGTTTTGACATGACTAGAGAATCTGTGGGGTTACACGATTTATGATGTGCAAACTTGCAGTGGATTATGTATTTTTACCCAAGTTAGAGTCATGTTAGTAATAAAATCTAAAAATAATTCCAGCTAGTCATTCTGAAAAAAAAACCTAGTGCCAAAACAAATGGCTTAGTTTCACAATTCAAAACCAAAGAATGAGAAGAAGCTGACAATATTTAAAGACACTGAAATATATCATTACAATTGTTGGTATTACTGGGAAAGGTCGTCTTTGAAATTTTTTCAAATATTTTTTTCTACATATGGGATGGAATCACATTACTTAGTATGGTCATTATTCATTCCTAGTTTTCATGACAATACTAATATGTCTCTCAAAAACTGTAGCACATTTAAGAAGTTTAATGTGGAATACATAAACTGGCATTTAACAGTAAAACATGATTCTCAGCTGTATCAAGATGTGTCAAATAGGGTCGCCACTTTTAGTTTGCCAAACTGAAAATGCAACAGTGGGGACAAGTTTGACCCTTCAAAGGACTTATCAGGAGGACACAGCTGTTGTATCAAAGAGAAGAGAAATATTTAAACCTGAAGGAGAAGTATAATTAGGTTTAAACAACCTCCAAAAAGCATGTTTTAAAAACCTAGTGACTGCAAAAATATTGTGCTTCATTTTTTCCTAACTTATATAGCCAATTCTGTGTTGTGCAGGGAGTCTCAGGAAGACCTGGACATCCCGGTCCAGCTGGAGCAAAAGGAGAAAAGGTATTCCTTCTTTTTATTCTTGGTAAAGGTCTGTGAAGGCTTTGCAATCCCATTACACTGTCTTTTGGGGTTTTTTTTAACAAGTGCAAGAGTGTAACAAGAATGTGGCATGAATTTCAAATTTTTCTTTGTGTTTCACTACAAGTACTTTCCCTAAACATTTCTGCTGCACATATGGGCTTATAATTTGAAGTGCAGTCCTTGTGGTATATTTAAGTTACAGAGAATTTTGTTTAGGTATAACACATTGTATAAGATTTAGGAAAATGAAAATATGTTTCTGACATGGAACATGACTTGCTGTGCTTAACATTCTTTTACCAATATTATACTTAAAAGTAATTGTAAAAGCACTGAAAGTTATTGGGTGTTAGTTATTCTGAAAAAATATGTAAGCTTCCTTTATACTTAATTTACACTCTCTTAGCAATGCTTTTTTTTTCAAAATTTTATGTGTTCTTTTATCAGGAACTTGATATTATCCGTTATAACTAAGAGGTCAAATTCATTTCTTGAGTACCTCAGATCAGTGCAATACAGCACAGACAAACTTTGCTGCAAAATACCTTCTGGGAGAAGTTGTACATTTTGTGGATGAATACAACTTTTCTTTCAGTAGTACTCTGGAATTTTGCAGGCATAGCACTGCCATATCCATATGTGGGGATCCTAATTCCCTACAGAACTTTGGTATGAGTGAGAAAGAAAACTATTTTGTAAATCTCTGAAATTATTTCAGTATAACATTTGAATGAGAGTTGTCTCCTTGCAGCTCACAGTAACAAAAATTTACCCCACTTATTTCCTTTTTATCTAACTGAATGCAAAACACAAGTATTGAGAGTTCCTTGTTCACAATTCACACAAAGGTGGGATTGAGAAGCCCCTGCTCTACAGCTCGTGTCTCATAATTCTAAAAGTGCAAAAGTCAGATGGCTGAGGAGTAATGAAGTAAAATGAAATAAAGCCCCAGTAAATTTCTCCTCTGTCCTTCATCTGGGACACACTTGAGAATTGATCACATAATGTGCTTTCTAAAATAATAGGATTTTAATTCCCCGTGAAGCTCTTCAAACCACTCTTGAGAGGCTGGCAGTTTCTAACAATTAGCAGGGCCATTTGGAAATTATCCTAGTATAAACGTTTAGTAAGAATTATATTTTTCTGCTGAGATAATTATTGGCATTGAGCACTTAGCTTGATTTTTGCCACCTTAGTAATTTTAAATTTGCAACTTAAGTGCCTCACATATATTTAGTAAGATCCAACAAAGACAGTGAATAATTCTGACAGACTTGTTCCAAATTATACAGTGTATTTATCTGAATTGTAGTGATGAGATTTTGAAAAGATTGTTTGGGAAATTTTATGTTGAACTTCTTGCAGCTCTCTACTATTCCCAGACCCCATGATTGTGCTGGGCAAAAATCCCAGCAGCTATGCTTTTTATAATATAGTCAATTCAGTACACAACAGCAGAACAGGCCAGTGATACAGGTAACAACGGATGAATATTTTACAGTAAAAACCAAAAAGACATTCATTATATCTCTTAATAAGGAAGAGTATTTTTTTTAAAAAAAATCTTAATTTATATTCAGTATGTTTCTAAGCAAACTGAATTTCTGAAACTGTACATCTTCTTTATTTACATATGAATGATCAACTGAGGATTGGCTTTTGCAAAATAATATAAAAAGCATAAAATGCATATTAAGTTATCTGCCAGTTGCTTAGAAATTCATATTAACATACTAACAACTCTTTTTTTTTTTTTTTTTTTTTTCTTTGTCTTCCTCTCCCTCCTGGTACATATGAAATGTTTCCCAACCCAGGTTACCACTGTTATTTTTCCATAAGTTACTACACATAAAGCAGCAAGTAACTAACAAAATAAAAGCTAGTACAGAGTAATGATTCATGTCTTCCCTAAAGCTAAAGCAGGAACATTGCAGGAGAATTTATTCTTGATATTACCTGCTCTTATTGACTGTATCTCTTGTTTATTGTCATTATGGTCATCATAGCTTGAGTGTGGAATGGATGTGGCCAGTTAGAGTAAATGAGTTACATCAATCTCTTGCTGTACTAGGGTAGTGAAGGTTCTCCTGGGAAACCTGGACCACCTGGGCCTCCGGTGAGACATTTTGTTTGATATCTTGAATGTATATTAGGAACAATATTCTTGTGGATAAAATGTATTGTAATCTAAAGTACTGAGTGTTGATGTAATAAAAAATAATATTGCAGGAAGGTAACGGTGTCTTTTTTTCAAAAATTTTCCATATTCCTTTTTTTTCCTCGCAATTCATCACTGAGTAAGTTCAGATCACTAAAAGCCTCTAAGAAACCTGCTCAAATTAGTTAACCTTTGTATTATTAGAGTAAAATTGATGGCTTGGATACCTGAGATCAGAGAACCCAGGCAATATAGGGGAAGTCTGTGGAGTTCACTGGACTCTAAATGAAGTGGAATAGTACCTAACACAAAATTTATTCTGGAGAATTATAATAATAAAAATCAAAATATGATGTACACTGATTTACAGGTTTCTTGGTTTACAATTAAAAGAAAAAGTTACAAGCTGTGTTGCTGTGTACCTTATGTTCTTCTGAAATCTGGAATCTTTGACAAATTGAGAACAAAAAGGATACCAGACCTTTGCTGAACTACAGGACTTGAACAGGGCAATAGTTCTGCCTTTATAATTCATAAGTGATACTTACTTGGTTTTTATGCTTTAAAGGGTATGCCTTACAATGAAAGAAATGGAATGAGCAGCTTATATAAACTGCAGGTATTTCTCTTTAATGTTAATTGCTTTTTTTCCAATCCCCACCCGATTTTAGCCCAACTTAACATTTAAACTTGCTGTTACAGGGAGGTGTGAGTGTCGCAAGTTATCCAGGTCCACCAGGACCTCCGGTAAGTGTTACCAGAAACCTAATTTCTAGTAGCTAATTGACAGAGAAACAGAGAAGGGTTAGTTGAATAAAATTTGATTTTGTTTGTGAAAGATTAAAAAAATAAGGATACGATTGGTATGTAGCAGTCTGTGGTTTGCCAAGCATTTTAGCCATTTTGGAGAGTGGTTTATTTTGATTAAATCATTTCATCCTAGCAAGTAAAGGCTGCAGAAATGGTACATAATTTGGTATTGGACTCTTTAGTGAAAGTATTCTTATACTAAAAATGTGTAGTTTTGTACTTATGGTTCATGAAGACATGGTTTTGCAGCAGACAAAATTTTGCACCAGAAATGAGAAGATCATGAGTTCTGATCTGAGTTCTGAGTTCTGTCACTGATTCACTACATGTAGCTACAGTGTAGGAAGATATGTAAAACTAAGAATTATGTTGTGGAAGTAATACGGGCTGGTGTCTTTCACACTGCAGGTGCAGCACCTTGCATCTTTGATCCTTTGCAACACCTGTGGCTTTGGTTCCATGGAACTAAAGCTGCTGTGCACTTATTTTCATTCTCCTCCTTTTTAGCATCATAGGCAAGCTCTGTTTTGAGATGATTGTCTCTTTGGTAACCACAGTTATGGGCTGGCACCAAACAACAGAGCTGTCTTTCTCTGTATCCTGGAACAGCAAAACAAGACCCAAAATATTACTAAGATTTTGTGCTAAATTAATCAGCTGAGAGAGCTGGAATTAATAATGATTCTAAATGCACTGCATTAGCAAAGTATACTCATAATGCAGTCATTAAAAAAAACCCATCTTTTCGTGTAACTGTTCTTCTTTAAATGTGGCTTGGTTTGTTCGGGTTTTTTACAGGGTCCAAAAGGGGATCCTGGAACAGTGGTATGTATGAATTTTTTGTTTTTGATAGAGAATTCCCCAAGTAGTTTGACACATGGTACTTCCAAAGGACAATAAGAAACTCAAACCAAAACCTCTTAGCAGTGACAGCAAAACATGGAGCTGTGAGACAGTTTTCTAAAACAGTTTAATAATTTGTCTTCAAAAAAATTCACAAAGCCTCTTTTTTTTTTTTGTTTCACCACAACGCCTGGAAGCTGAAAACATCTTTCTGTACCAGCACCCACTTTCTACTCAGAAAACACCAAGTACCAGGGTTTAGGTGGGAAATGTGAAATCTGTCAGAGATTTCAGGAAATCCAGACAGCAATTTCCCATGGCTTTTGATTTAACTAAGAATTGCTGAAATACTGGAATTGTTGGCTGTAGGTTAAATGTCCATGGTAAATTATCCATTTTCTTTCAAAAAATAATTGAAAGGACCTCCCCACTCTACTCTAAATGTTAAACTGATATCTCCATTGGAGCATGTTTACAGTTTTCTTTCAAACCTTGAAGACTACCCAGGGATGCAGCCTGTGTGTCCCCTGCTGCAGAGTAACCTTTGTTTAGGGAAGCAAGCACAGAATTGCCCAGAGGTTGGTTCTCTGGCTGACAGTGTTTGCTTACATCCCAGGACTGCACTGCCTGCAGGTGCTTCAGAGGTGACCTTGGCTTGCATGAGCCCTGGAGCAGTCTTCTGTATTACATCTTTCATCAAAACTAAACCATTGAGCCAAATACTCACACAGAACCCCTGGGAAAAGCTTAATTTGCAAATCAGTAAAATGAGTCATAACAAAATCTGTTTACCTAATATCTGGTTAGCTGTTTTAGTGATCCCAAGTTAAATAATCTGCTATTGCTTACTGTTCAACATTTCCAGTGTTGAGTAAAAAAATTCTAATGTATGCAATCTTTTAATTAAAAAAAATAAAAAAACAGGGAGACCCAGGACCAATGGGATTACCAGGACTGGAAGGACTCCCAGGGGAAAAGGTAGGACTCTTAAAAAGGAGGCACAATTTCTTAGTGGCCACTATCTGCAACTAAATGTCTTCTGAAGCCTTGTTTGGTTTATTCTTTGTAAATTAGTGTTTCTGTGAGAAAAATCTTTGCGTACTTATTTATATTTTCCTTTTTTGCTTTAGCGTGGGTGTAAATAATATACTCACTGAACATAAAATTTCATTTTCTGCAAATGGAAAATTGTGTGTAGGAGGTCTTGTAATATTCTTGGTAGAATACTACTGTACTTGACAGTAATATAGTTAATATTTTCCTATGTATGGTTCTTGTTCTCTCCTGAACATCATCTTGTGTTTACAGTCCATCTGTCTTGTTCTCAGCCTTTTGCTTTCTAATTGTGGAGACTGATTGCAAATTTAGAAAAAAGCTTTTCATAAAAGGCTAAAAAAGTCAAGATTTTGGTATTCACTTCTAAATATTACAAAATACAAATCATTTAGCAGAGAATAAAAAAAATCTGTAAATATGCTTTCTGTCAGCAAAACCAGTTTGATTTTCCCCATATCTTCTAATTTAGGAAGAAAAAAGAGTAAAATTTTTAAAACTGAAATGTTTTTCAGCTTTTTGAATTATACTATTAAATTACTTGATGCAAAAGTACCTTACTGAAACTTGTTTTCCATCACAAGGAAATCTAAATTACAAGTTTCCCTCTCAATATCACTGTACATTCCTCCTACTTGTTCAGTCAGTGAGAAGATCTAAGATAGATATCTATACTAGATGCTTAAATTACATGAGATGGTTCTTGCTCTGGAGTTCTACAATTTACAAGCAATTAAAGACTAGTCTAATTTCAAAATGAACAAACACAGGGAGACATTACAGGTCTAACTGAGACAAAGTGGAGACAGGAATTAAATAAAGGGAATAAGCAATGGATCATATCATATAAACCAGCTGAGTGTTTGGCCTTTTCCCAAAGCAAAATATCTAGTTTCCTTAACTAAATTAGGTCAAAATTTCACATTTGTGGTGCAAAGAAGTGAACAAAATCTCACAGCCTGCCAGTTCCAACAGTATAGTGCATGCTGGATTTTAATTTAGAGCCATGATGCTTCTCTGTGTAGTAGAATGTCATCTTCTACAGACAACATTGGCTGTAATTTCATGAACTACCTTAAGAGCCTCATGTCCTCTGGATAAAATGTGCTGACAGTGGCTGGTGCAGCTGTGCTGCAAGCCACACTGCTGAAAGGACCAGAATAACCCTGAAAAGAAAAAAACAAATTGTTGCAAGGGAGGTGTTAGGCATTTTTAGTTTCACTATCATAGCCAGCATATAGGGAAAAAATACCACAAGTTCTGTCTCTGGAATAACCACTGGGGCAGAGTGCAGAGCTCCAGACAATGTTGCCCTGCCTGCTGCAGGCACTCAGTGCTCCCCACTCGGTGTTCCAGGGGTGCAGGTTGTGTTCCTCACGGGGTGACTACTGCCAGCCTCCAGAGCAGGACAGGTTGAGCTGTGTCCTGTAAGCTGCTTCCTCCAAACACGAGGTCAGACATGGAACTTGTCATCTCTTACACTTCGTGTGAGGGAGTGAAGTGTTTCTAATCAACAGCAAGATCATCGTGCACGTGAATAAAATGATGAGACAAACCACCATTGCTTGTAAGAACAGAAACCAAAAATCCCAAAACTTCCTGGGCCTCTCATACAGAACACAACATGGCTGTAGCTATGCTTACAGAGCTTAAGTACATCTGCTCCAGGTAACATAAACCCATCTCAGAAAAATACTCTCCTGTTAGTATGGCTTCATTAGTGCCAAGGGTTTTCTGACATAAATTTAGAAACTTAACCAGCCTTACAGTAGCAGAGCATAGCATTGTAGACCAACATGTCAGCAGTGGGTAAATACCTCTGGGTAGAGTTTGACCACTTGATGAGCTCTGTCTGTCAGCTTTGGATTACAGTCCTGTCGAGAAAGATGAATCTGTGCCTGTAACTCATCACTTCTAGCCAAAAGAACAGCACTGTCCTAGCTTAAAAGCATAGATGAAGCTAACTGTGTGCTTAAATGAGAGCCTTTGCCCTGAGAAGGCCATGGCACAAGCAGAGGACGTTGGCTTGTAGTAAATGGATGACTGGGTAGCAGGAAAGAAAAAACCTCTTTGAAAAGTACATCTTAAATATGGGGATGTTGATATGAAAGTGAATTACCCTGTTGGTCATGACCACAAATTATAATTATTTGGAGAACTACAGGTAAATCAGGGACTTTCCATCCCTTTTCAAGGGAGGCCTCGCACAGAGTCAAAGGAAAACATTATGTGAGAGAACCTAAACAAAGGACTGTGGTTACTTGCTCAAGTCTGTATAATGAGCCAGTGGCACAGATAAATATTTAGGCATTTAGCCTGGCTCTTGTCCTCATTTTCAGTTCACTTCCTTGGGTTTTAATGGGAATCCAGCAAGAAACTTCTGGTTTGATTGTTGTAGTTTAAACATAGGTTTATATTTTCTTCAGGGTGACCGTGGACCAGCTGGAGCACCTGGAGTGTCAGGGACACCGGTATGTATATTCTTTAAAGAAAACTCAGGTGTGTAGAAGCTTAAAAATTAGGTCAAGCAAGGTGCTGATCTGTAATCTCAGTCACTGTGGAACACCAGTGATTGGCTTATGCTTTATATGTAGGTGTGAGGATTGTGAGTTTTCCCTAAAGAAATTAGAGTTTTAATGGTGGCAAGGGTTCATATTGTTATTAAATTGACAAGAGTGAGTGGGGTGAATACATGATTAAGCTGGAATTCAAAGCTGCATATGCTTAGTTAAGAAATGTGAAATTCTTCTCATTGCCTCTGTTTAACATAGATAAAGATGTTTTTTGTGTTCCTGGGCATGCACAAATGTCTGAGCATCTTTCTATCACAAAGAAAAATCATGAACATTAGTTATTGCAACCCACAAGGATCTGCATATCAGGTCGATCAAACATTTGCTTTAGGGGAATGCTTTGTCAGCTATTTACATGTAGTATTCAGAGAAGTTTCTGAAAGTCATAGAGGAACTTTGTTGTAGGTGAAAGTAAAAGTAGCTAATAATAAATTGAAATTATAATTATTCGTTTGTGTTCCTAAAGGAAATTAAGATATTAGATTGCATTCACAGTTTAATAAAAAAGTTTATCCATCTTTCAGGAGGCAATATAGAGTTATTTATATGCAAATAGATTTATTATTAAATTTTGGCGGCTACCAATACATTCAGGAGCTGTTTAAATTATAAATATGTGTTTCATGAAATAAAGAAGAGTATGTGTCTACACACTCCCATTTCCATTAGCCACTGATTTAGTCTATAAGCCACTGATTTAGTCTATATACTGTGAGTTCCAAGAGAGAACATCATCTTAAATAGCCTAATTTCATCGGGTTTTCCTAAAAGAATTGCACATTTAAGGGGAAAAGTATTTCTCTGAGTTTTATAGCAGATGTAAGAATTTCAAAGCTTGTTGTTCTGAAACAGATTTTACACTGTTAGTAATAACCCTGTAAATGGTTAGAAAGGTCACAGTTGTGCATTTTCTATGAATTTCCCACTGGATATGTCTCAAGTTATTGGAGGTTCTCTATTTAAGTTGGATATGAAATATTTAATGAGGTCCCTTCTTCACTGAAGGAGTTGCATTCTGTTGACTATATTTAGTTCTAACAAAATCCACTGAAATAAAACATTTTCTTCTGAAAAAAATTGTTCACTTTCACATTTTATGCTAAGGAGTTTTAATCAACAAAACAGTGGACATGTGAGACAAATTTTTTTCAGTAGTCTAGGAGGAGTTTGAGACATAGCCACATATCTTGCTGGAAAAGGACTTGTCTTCCTTACCTGTCATTATTCCCTAGATTGAATAGTAGACCCTTTTTCCCATCTGGGAATACAAACGTCTTATTTTCACTTTGGCATTTTGCTGAGATTGTTTTGATTGTCAGGGAAGCTTGGACTGAGATCCTGCAGGCCTTGCCACCAATGCCTATTTCAACATGAATGCTCAGTCCTGCTGTTCCCAGAGTTGTCCCTGGTGTTGATGGGTTTGATCTCTCGCTTGTACAAGTCACCTGAGGGTCGTCTGGTCCAAGGATACTCTCAGGATATGTAGATTCATGTTTTTAGAAGAAGGGTATCCTACAAAAAAGAGACATTTAAATGATGTCATAAGATTGGTAATTCTGGCAGCTGAACATAAAATTACAATAAAAGTGGCCAAAAACTATCATGAAGAAAATTTGCAAAAGGCATTAAGTCAATAGTGAAGTCACATAAAAAAAAAAAAAAAAAAAAAAGAAAAAAAGTCAGGACTAGAAATTACCTGAAGGAAAAAATTTTGATTTTACATATACACTGAAAAACTTTGATCTGACTACGACTTCTCAAGGTGGAAATCGTGGTGTTTGAAAAGGAAATTTCATAAAAGCATCTCAGTATTCAGAAAGGGTAAACAAAACCAAACTACTGAGTAAACAGAGCATGTTAACAGAGCCTGTTCATTAAATATGACAAGATAATATAAGAGACTGTTCATTAAATATGACAGAAATCTGGTAAAAGATTTCTTTTTCCTTTCTTAAAGCATTAATGAACAATACCATGAATATTTCTCTCATATATACATATATATATATAAATATATATATATATATAAAAAATACTCTCTAATTTTTGATGTAGAGAAAAATTGTATTTGGCTTCCTAATAGTTTGAATCTGTAATATTCTCTTTTTGCAGGGAAAGCCAGGATCCCCTGGGTCCCCAGGGTTGCCAGGAGAACCTGTAAGTACAGATTTGAGTTCTGGATTTTTACAATAGCAAACAAATATTTCAGACACTTAATGTAAGATTTCTCATGCAGATTTATATGTGTGTTTTCTTCTTTCTTAGGGTGAAAGAGGACCTATAGGAGATATAGGCTTCCCTGGTCCAGAAGGGCCACAAGGAAAACCAGTAAGCAATTCTATACTGAATATATATTTTGTGGTTTAGTTTATCAGAAGTTACAAAAGAAAGGACATTACATCTTGCTTTGTGTTAGAGTAGGTAACATGTGAAGAACACACAGAGCTGCACTGCTCAATATTAACCATCCAAAAAAGAATTTCTGGTATTGTGGTGTTTTAATAGTTAATGTTCCTGAGATGTTGCCTTTAAAGGTCTTATGTAGGTCATTTGGATCTTGTTGACATAAAGTCCCCTCTTGTACTTTTTCCAGGGGTAGAATATGAACCCAGATACTCAGCACAGTCAGTAAAAGATGGGGTGACAGAATAGGTCCTCAGTTTCAGTTTAGATAAAGAAGCGTGTGCTTCATGACTGAATAAACTTTGAGACTCTTCTATATACAGGGGGTGCAACACTGCAGCTGAGGTATTTTGTGTTCACTCAGGAGATGTCTAATCTGCTTCCTTTAGGTAATAAAAGTGTGACAGCAGTGTAGTCAGCACTGTCTGAGCTGGTTTTAAAAACCTAGTTTATATTCTAGAAGGGGTTCAGTAAGGGTAGTGCAAGACTCATTATCTCCCCTGAATCTTGCTGGTTTGGGGATGAACATGAGCAGCAGACCTTTGCAGCTTGTCAACACATCTCCACATTACACCTCTGCCTTGGAAGAAGAGACAATTTCTGTAGTTACTGCATCAAATTAGCCCAAGGTGCCTAATCTGTGCAAAACTCCACAGTATATGAAGAGAAAGAAATTAAAGAGAAAGAAAGAATTCCTGGTGTCTCTGCTCAAACAAGTTGTCCTTTCTCACTCAACGAAACAGCTGTGAGTTTGCTACATGTGCAGATCCATAAATATCCTACTAAATTAAACGCTGCCAGAGCATTTATCTTGCAATTATCTGGCATTGTGCAATTGTTAATATACTCTCTGACATTATTTTGGCCCATACCAGCTAGGACTCTCAGAACATGCCACATTCCAGTCTGGAGGATAATGTGGGCCTGGAACAGTTTCTAGCAGGTGCTATGAATGCAATCACCCTGTTTGGGGAAGGAAATAGCTTTAACCCAGGAGACCAAAACTGTGCCATGCTACAAGTTCTAAGCATCAAAGAATGGATCTGGACTTATAATAGTAAGGCACAGTCTCTGTAAGAGCAGAAGGGTAATTTGGTGCCAAGGCTAATATCTAGAATAAAAGAAATCTCTCCCATGATTGTATTATGACTAGCTGGGACTGAAAAAGTGCATGTACATGTCCACAAATATTCCACATTTGCAAAATTTCCCTATAATTTGTCGTTTAAAGTTGGATGATCATTAGATTTGGTGCACATTTTGATGCTCTTTGTATTTCTGTATTATAGTTACACAAACTGCTGCTTCAGAACATTTACTGATACAGCACCAAACACTGAGCTTTACCCTTTTCATTTTTAAAACATATAAACATATTATTTTTTTTTCTCAGGGAATCAATGGAAAAGATGGATTGCCAGGTCCTCCGGTAAGAAAACATGCTTTTGTGTATTTTATTCCTCACAGAAACCACAGCTGTTAATCCTAGGCAGTTTCTTTCTGCTCTGCTAACACATGAATGCACAACAAAGCCTTTAATTGATAAATTTATCTTTTTCAAAAACCATTTTTCAGGGAGCTGTGGGAAGACCAGGAGACAGAGGACCCAAAGGAGAACGTGTAAGTACCTATTACGATATTTTTTTCCTTTTTTACTGAGCATATAAACACCTCATCATCAAATATCTTATAGGCAAAATCAAGAAATTAATTCTCTGTGAACTTCAAGCAGTCACCTAGACATCTAAGAGGTTTAATCCTAGACACCACTTCAGGGAATTAGAGCTGATTTGGCTTCTGCATTTATAGGAAAAACACATTTTATAGACTTTCAACACAGTTGGCCTGGATAGTTAAAATTGATCAATAGGCTGAAAATTGGAAAGCTCATAATCCAGTTGTGCTGTTGTCAGACTTTGCAAAAGCTATGAACTTGCCCTGTTGTCATCCTTTCTATGGCACAAGCACAAATCATGTTTTATATAAAATAAGCTTGTCATGCTTAGGCATCAGGAATGCCAGTGCAATATCTGACAGCTTCCCAAACTCTTCAGACAGTTCATGGTTACAAGGTCATGGTGGGCGGGAATGATTATGAGAGGTGAGGGATGAGTTTATATCTATATAAACATATAAATATAAAAGATGGTCTTCTTATAACATTGCTAAAGTCCTGATGTCCTGATCAAATGGCTACCACATTTATTTGATGACTCAGATAAGTATCTTCCTGTTTAATCTGGAAAAGGAAATGCTGTTTTATTACACTGAAGAGACATAGGGGTTTAACAAGTATTACAATTACCCTTAAAAAATTAACTGTTTACAATGTTCTGGTTTTTCCTTTAAGGACAAACTAGTTGAAAACATGTTTTATACCAACCAGTTTTCTAGTGATTTCAAGAGATACAAGTGCTAGTGGCTTGCTCATTCTTTGCTGTTATCTGTATACCTTGACCACAGATTGTGATCTACCTGCTGGAGTAGAGCAGGTAGAAACACAGGAAAAACAGAAGTTCCTTCTGCACAGAATTTGATACAAGATAAAATACAAGAGATAGGAGAATGCTAGAAAGGAGAAAGGCTGAACAAAGCAGCACCTTAGGCAGAGATCACACAAAACAAATGTCCTGAATCTTGTACAATTCATAGTAGAGAGTTTAAAGAGGAATCTGGAGGAATAGATGACCTAGTTTATGAATTTTTACAAGGATCTTTTCCAAAGCACAAAGAAAACACTGGAGGCAGTTAAAAAATGCTTGTTTGAAAAGTTGCAGTATTTGATTTGCCTCCTACACGCTGGCTGCCTGTAAAACATGGACTGTTTAGGAGAAAAGGATCAGCTTCACACTGCCATAGCACCATGATTCTAGAGAAACCTGCCTTTTTCTTTATATCTGATAGTAGAGCTATCTATACCTACTCTGCAGGCTTATAAACCTGAGAACTTACATATCACAGAATCATAGAAAGGTCTGGGCTGGAAGGTACCTTTAAAGTGCATGAAGTCCCAGCCACCCTGCCATGGGCCTTTCATCAGACCAGGTTGCTGTAAGCCCTATCCAGCCTGGCTTTAATATATTTCCAGGGTTGGAGCATCCAAAGCTTCTCTGGACAATTTGTTCCAGTAATCCTCACAGTAAAGAATTTCTCACTAATATCTGGTCTAGACCTATTCTCTTTCAGTATGAAGCCATTACCCCCTTGTCCTGTCACTACATGTCCTTGTTAAAAATTCCTCTCCAGCTTCCTCCTAGGCCCCCTTTGGGTACTGGAAATAACTTAATTAACTATAATTTTGAGTGAATGAAGACATAAAATAGTAGGCTTCTAAGGAAAGTTACAGGAAACATCCTGGTGTCTTTTGCCTTTGTGAATTTGAGCACCTAAATTATACCTATGCCATAATTGACATTTCTACATCCTTGTATAAGGGCTAAAAACTTTCTATACTCAAGTTCTGTCCTTGAAAAGTGGGTTACAAGACAAGCTATTCTTTTTGTAATTCAACATCAAAAGTGCAAGAAAACAAAATGTATTTTCAGAGACAAGGTTGAGCCTGTAAAATCGCCTTCCCTGCATGACTCAGTCTGTTTCTGAGCAGGCAAGAATTTTCTCTTTAGCATTCTCGAGTGACTTTCCAGGTTTAGTTCCACTGTGTGCAGTGGTTTTCTTTCTGCTTTTATTTTACACAGGGAGATCAGGGTATTCCAGGGGACAGAGGTCCACAGGGTGAACGAGGGAAACCTGGCCCATCTGGAGAAAAGGGGGATGTGGGTCCTGTTGGCCCTCCAGGAGACAGAGGCTATCCAGGATCACCAGGTCATCAAGGTCCCCCAGGTTCACCAGGACCCCCAGGGTTTCCTGTAAGTAAATGAAAGTTTATCTTGGTTTCTTGTGAATTCAGACAGTTATGAAGGTAGCATGGGCTGAGCAGTGGAAATTCAACTGAGGAGCAGCACAATATTAGGAAAACTAAGGACTTTTCTCAGATAATTTCAATGTTCAGTTAAGGTGGAAAAAAATATGCCCACATGATCAGGAAGTTATTTTTAATTATTTTTTACAACATCTGCTATGGAGAAACTTTATTTCTTTAGTTCCTACATATCAACATGGCTACTCAGTACAGTAAATTTTCACATTTTCCATAAGATTCAGAGCTAAAGTCCTGCTAGCTGAAAGCTTTTGCAACTGGGAAAGAAAAGGAGGCCAAAACTGATTTTCAGTAGAAGAGAAGTTAGCATTTAAAAAGACAATGAAATGCTGCTTACCAGTTGTAGATATCTTGATTTGTCTGCAAGAGCACACAGGCACACACATCCATGTTGTGGGTTCTTTTTCACCTCACTCAGACAATATAAAGCTCTAAAACACTTTTCCAGTGAAGTTACTGGTCCTGTGGCTCAGTTCTGGTCAGCAGTGCATCAAAGCAAGTAGTCTCCAGGGCAGGTGAGAAGTTGGCAGATGCTATGCAAAAGTAAAGCACAGTGTTGTCACTGGACATCCTTACTGTCTTGTGCAAGTTAACTTCCATACTCATCACATCCAGGTCATCTTGGCAGCTGGGAGTGCTTCTCTCACTTCATGCCACCAGTGTCTTTACAATATTATAATGAATTTGCAGTAATGTGGCCTTTGCAGTAAAATAAATAACACAAATATATTAAAACACTTACCTGTTTGTGAAAGGTTCATATTTTTAATGCTAATTTGAGCATTTCTCACTTCTGTATCATCACAAAGTGTCCTCTGTATATTCCTTCTGATACATATCACCTTTCTTTTTCCTCATCAGGCTGATGCAATTTCACTTGAAGAAATAAAAAGATATATCAAACAAGAGGTTCTTAAGGTGTTTGAAGGTAATAAAAGGAAGTATTATACAGCTAAATCTGAAATTCTGCTCTAAATTTCTTTACATGTCGTCTAACTTACGTTGGACCTAGCAGTTACCTTATTGCTATAGCTATGCTTAACAAGTCTACATGATTCTGTTCAAACAATGAGAAGGTAGAGTATCTGTTAAACAGAGTATTTCTTTATGTTAGATATTCCTTAAGACTAGCACCGAATGGTAGTCTGCTCCAAATCATAATAGCAAACATAAGTATGTGTCACTGTAGATACATATATGTATCATCTATTACTGCAGACACTGTTTGTCTACAACATGCCATTAAGGTATTGAAGTGTTACTGAAGCAGAGACCATCTATATACCTAATTATTTTGCCTACTTGGTGGCTGACCATCTAAATAAGAGAAAGGCTCGACACCTTCCAGTCACATAGCTCTAAACTGCTGTGCAGTTTTCTCAGCAAGTATCCCTGCTGAATTCCAGAATTCCCCCAGACCACCATCTTCTGGCACAGTTTTAGGGAAGTACCAGATCCAGCCAAGGCTTTTATATTATGTAAGGTTTCTTACATGAGTCCTTACTCTGAAAAGGAAATACTTTTCTTCTCCAGCATTCCTCTAGTCACAGTAGAAAAGCTGTGACTCAGGTTTCTAAAACAAGATTCTTCTTGAATTCCCCTTAACAGTAGCTTCTCTTCCACTGCAAAAATGCATTTCTTGCATCTTCAGTATGACTTGTTATTCTGTCATTAATATTTGTGAATGGAAACCGTATGTTAGGGATAAACGAAATTATATAAAGCTTGAGACTTCTTAACCTGTTCAGGCAGTTTTCCACTTTATAACAAGGCTATGGTTTTGTGTATTATCACCTTTCCCCAGGATGCTACCCCCTCAGAGTTCAAACTACTATGTATTTCAAGAGCAGTTTGTTGAGTGAAGTCTCTTCCTTTTCCCATTCAGATAGAATGGTAACAAAGTATTTATTCACAAAAAGAAAGCATTAGAAGGTGCCCTGCCCACAGGGCATAAAGGAGTTTTGTCTTTAGAGCTATTCCATTTCCTGTACCTTGCTACTGTTCCCACAGATCTTCCAGTTTTGTCATTGTTTTCTTTTGTTTACTTTCTATCACCCTCCTCCTTTTTTGTTTGATGCCCAGTCTTCTCTAATTTTTTTTCTTAAATCTTAAAACTCCACCATAGCAAATACGTGCTAAATTGTGGAATGTTTAGGGGTTTAATCCGGTATAAATGAGACAGAGTCAGACCTATTTTATCTAACTCTAAGGAGCACTAAAATATTGCCAAGGGCGCTTTATCCCACCAGCATGAACATTTCTGTTCTGAAATATCTACAATTAATAATCTTTGCTGACCACTTTCAGGTTTTTTACAACTGTTTTCAGGGTTCCAGCACATTCCAAGAATTGTTCACAGTATTTAATCTCTACTTTGCAGCTTAATATGAGTTTCAAACATATAAGGTAGCCCTCCATCAATATGTTAAGTACTAATTATTCTGTCTGTGTGTTTTAAATATATTCATGAACAGGAGTCTGAAGTCATTTGAAATATTGGAATGTTTTAGTAATAGAGAGTAGTAATAGAAACTTTAATACAAATTCATTCTGATTATTTCCAAGGGTAAAGACTCAGACATGAATCTGAGTTGAAACTGAAGATCTTAGTACCTATTGGTGCATTTTAATACCTTAACATTAAGAAGAGTTAAACACCCTACTTACAGAAAAAGTAGCTGGGGCTTTGGGATTTTTTTCTCCCTTTTTTGCTGTCAGATTTCTTATCAGTATTTTCTTGTGTCTTTGATAAATGAAGAAAGGATGGCTCAATTTGTATCCCAGCTGAAGCTGCCTGCTGCAATGCTTGCCTCCCAAGCTCATGGAAAACCAGGGCCCCCAGGAAAAGATGGGTCTCCAGGGCCACCAGGAAAGGATGGTTTGCCAGGGCCACCAGGAGAACGTGGAATTCAAGGTAGGAATTCCAAAAAATGTTCCTTTTAGTTGTATCTTGAAATCCTTCCTTATACACTTGCTAATGTTTATTAAATACGCCAGGATTACCCATCTAGCTTTCTAATGATTAACTTTTAAACTTATGTACTTATGTTTTTCCAGACCACATCTAAATATTAACCCATAGTAAATGTGTGGATTTTACTGATTAAAAACTCCTAATCAGTGCATTTTATTCTAATCAGTTATAAAGTTAATAACTGACGAATATCTAAGTCTGACAGAACTACTATACCAGTTTTTGGGTTTTTTCTATGAAATACTTGAATAAGGAAGAAAAACAATTCCAACACTCTTGCTATTAAGATTCAGCTTTATATTGAGATACCCTCTTAATTAAGAAAGAAAATTTGATCTCCTAGTCTGATTGCTCTCAGCTTTGATCCTGGGAAAATACAGGGCAGGAAAAACTGAAGAAAAATATTCTTCTTTAAGTGGCAGTGAAAACTGTAGTATTGCTAAATGAATTCTTCTTACAGTGAAAGAATCTATTGTCATAAAAAAAAAAATAAATCAGAGTAATCAATTTTTCACTATACCTCAAAGAGTAATTTGTGCATTTCAGTGCACCTGGACAGTATAGGATTCTTATTTCTGTGAACTGTATTTTACTGCAAAATCAGGTTTAGGGGATTCAAGTTCATTGTAGTTGTGCTCTACTGTAGAGTCAGCCTTTCAGAGATTAAAAGGAAGAGAACAGACTAGAAGGAAAAAATATTTTATAGACTAATAATATTTTTGTGGGTGGGTAACATGTAATTTGCAGTTTATCTGTAGGTAGTTCTTTATTATCTTTTGTTAGTTTGGTCTGCTCTGGAGTCAGAGCAAGTCAGACTGGAATGAAGAACATGCCAACAAAGCTGAAGATGTGTGGATCCTAAAGCTATCAGAAGAATAAGGACTTACTAACATTGATAAGCGCAAACCCCTGACAGAAGCTTCAAAAATGTGATGAGCTCAGAATGAGAAGAACAAGAATAAAGGATCAAGAAAAACAATAAAAGGCTTAGAACCTTACAACACTGACTTCTTCGTTACCTAAATATTCAGATCACTGCAAATAGTCACCTTCAATGTCAGTGCCAGATTGTTCAATGATGATGTATGTACTGGATAGTCTCAAACGCTTCAGGGAAGTGAAACGTTGCACCAGGTTTCATTTCCAGCTAGTGAATATTAAGACTAAAAGGTGATAGTTATGCTTGAAAAAAACAAAACAAAAAGAAGCTGCTTTTCCATACTTTTCCATACCTTATATTTGAGTAAAATAGTGCCCCATGTACACAGGATTTCCATCTGTTTTACCAATATGCTCAATACTTGATTTCAATTAGTAAAAGGTAAGCTAAGTGAGAAGCCTTAAATTCTCTGATATATCAAAATATATACAAAATTACACTTCCAAGGAAAGAAAACCAAAAGTTTACCTTGCCTCTTTTTTATACTGTGAATAAGAGAATGTCCTGTAAGAGGAGCACACTTATGCATACCCTTCATGCCTTCCTCAGTTGTTCCTGCGCATGTTACTGCTTTGTGCCAAGAGTAAAAAGAAATTCAAATCTCTGAGCAAATTGAAAAGTATCCTTTTATATTCCAGCTTGTCTTCAGCCATAAAATACATAGCAAACAAGGATTCTTGGTGAAGCACATTACGTGCGTGTGTGGCTGAGCCCTTTAAGGTAGCATGCTGTGTGCACAAGTCCTAATACAGACTTGATAATGACTGATTGACGCTTCTTATTATATTTCTCACTTGGGTGTAGCCCAGATTGCCGACTTCAGGGACTTACTGTGCAGTAATATGTGTCTGGGCTGGCAGAGTCACTTGTCCCACACAGGCAGTGAGAAGAAGTAGATGCTTTCAGCAAGCAATTAACAGGACCTCTGTGAATATGTCCTGCATGAATATGTCTAGCATGCAGAGCCTGCTAGAGCCAGCCAGCTGGAAAGGCAGATGCTACTGTGTGTCTGGAGAAGTGTTTAACTTCATTTGTGGATTCACAGGGGCCCCTCCATACACCTTGAGTGTGGTGCTGGTTCCCCTGGAAACTGGTCAGGAACGATTTTGCCAGATTCCGACAGAATCTCTTTCTGAACAGAAAACTAATAGGTAGGGGTTTAGTCCCAGAAGCAAAAAGGAGAGACACTAACTTTTGGAAGTGTAGGCATGGTTTTCAAAAAGTATATTTAAAGAATTTCTAGACTCTTATGCGTAGAGTCATCCCCTTTTAAGGAAGTCCAGAATTTTTACCTGCTGGCCTTCAGCAAAGTTGATCATAGAGTTCCTCAGATCCTTCCCTGTGGTTCAGGTAGATATAATTTAATGGATGGTCTCATTAGAAATATAGTATGCAAGCAAAATATAATGAAAAATTTAAGCTTAAATTATGAAACACATAATTGGTATTCAAATAGCAAATGGTAGATTTTATATAGACATATATATATTAATTTCAAAAATAACCTATGGCATATGCATCTGTAAGCTGATGCTATGAGGCATGACTAATGTTAAAATGTACAGCACCTCCTTAAGGGAGAAGAGAGGGACTTTACTCTGTATGAGCTTTAAGGTATCTTTTTAATATCTCCTAGAGATATTAAAATAGTATCTTTTTAATATCTCCTAGAGAATTAGAAAGTTTATTTCAAGATTTTACAAACAAGATCTATTAATGTTATCCATCTGCAAACAGTCAGTCAGCTTGTCATGGGTTAGAGGATCTAGATCAATTAACTCCACTGACTTAAGTAAATTTTTTAAATTTTAATAGTAAGTGAATTTTGGTACATTAGATGAAATGCACCCTGGGATAATTTAGCAATTCAGAGATACTTTATGTTATGACATGATTTTTTTCTCAATAGAGAAAAGATTGCATCCTAGTTAAAATTCTCTCTATCAAATTAAGGAAATTAGTTTTTTATAGGTCCTCATAACTTGTGGTAGCCTCAAGGAATCAAAAAGAAAAAATAGCTCATCTCAGAAAATAAAAATCCTATGCAATGAATAGCAAAAGCTCCTTATTTTTATTGGTAATCTCTGTTGTAAAGTTTATGTCTCTTATTATAATTATTAATTTGCATGGTGGAAGCATGTAGAAACTTTGGCTGACATCAGGAACCCGTTGTAGTGGATGTTATCTAGACAGAGTCACTTTTCTGAAATAGCTGCAGTGGTTTCAAGAGGTACCTCCTGCAAAATGTTCTCTGCTGTGGAGGTCAACGTTAACCTGTTTTACTTTCATCTGAAACCCATCTTCTCCCTCTCAGCTGAGACAGCTGTAACACACAGAAGGAATTCAGAACATGTATTGGTGGCTGGATGAGAGGACTTCATCTCTAGCACCCTCTCTGTTGCTTTGCAGTCTTTTTAAGAGCCCTGACTGCACAGTAAAACACAGTGGATACTTTGATCTTCTCGTTCCCTGTTTTGATAATCTCTCTGCCTCTTATTTGTATTAAAGGACCTCAGATTTTTCTAGATGCTTGACATGTTAGTTTCATGCAGGGGCTGCATTGTCCATGCTGATGGAAGAGGGTCTCCATGATATAGGTGGAATACATTCTGGAGCAGTTTAAATACCTTTTACCTCCAAGTTCATGGACATGAACTTGTGTCATCTTCATGTAGAGCTGAGGGTGAAGCAGTAGTGACACTTTTGACAGTGGTAGTGACACCCTGATGTTTGTGGGGAGCACAAAACTGAAAGCTGAATTCCAGCTGTTACTATTCATCTATGAACAAAAGCTTATCTGTATGAACACAAACTGGCTACATACTGCTGCCAAGTGTTTACCATACTGCCCATGTTGGGTGTTTATAATAACAGAACTTTGGGCTTGCAGAAATCACAACACAGCTTCTGGGGCCTGAGTGAAGGGCTCTGCTAAAACAGTTACCTTTTGAATTAAGCAGGTGCCTCTTACTGGAATTGTAATTCTACCAGGAAAAGTAGATAGCATCTTACATGTGCCTTTATGTTAAAAACAATAAATCAAATTCTGTTTTATGTGTGTGGTAATATTTTCCTTTGACTGTGTGAGTTTGTCAGTCTAAGCCCAGAAAGAAGACGATATTATCCTGTAGAGGTGTAATCATGGCTCTGCTTCTGAGCAAAATATACCTCATTAAAAATCAAATATTTTTCTGCCAGAATTACACATTACATTGTTCATATTGTTTACATGTAAGTCTGTTTATTAATATTTTTGCATTCTATCAAAGCCTTATTGTTAGACAAGGTATTTGTGAATTTTTGTATCAAACTTCAATGCTAGCAGAACTTACCTGCCACCACATAAAAACTACACCCTTGCATGTGTATTTGGATACAGCCAGTAATGGTTTACCACTACCCTGGACTATGTATCTGCATTGGCAGACTGCTTTTTTGTCTTATTGTGTTTTGGGCTTTTTTTCCTTATTTTCTAGTATTCCAGTGATGTTTACAGATTCATTCAGTCTATCTCAGTCGTTTTCAATTACAGTGTGTCAGAGACCCGCAGGAATGCTTATCTTGGAGATTGTAAATGTGACATATGGTACCTTTGATTTCTCTCTCTTCTCCATAACTAAAGAAATGCAAAACAAATGATTAATGGCAGCACCTCATTGTAAAATTAGAGTTAACTGAGTTTGTAGTGGGAAATGCATTGTAACTGTTGACTGTAAACTTAAAAACATTGAGAAATATAAAAAAATTGGACCTGTAATGGATCCTGTGGTTCTATGACTGAGCTTTTGAAAAACGCAGTGATACTACATGTTGCACAAGATTATTCAGAGCAAACCAATTTGATGTAGTTAAAAATACCACTGTGGTCACCGGAGAGTAAATCCAAGATTCAAAATCCAATACAAATACCTACATCTAAGTCTTTATAGCTTGTGTGTGTATATGCCTTGTACAATTTTGCTTAACATAAGTCAGTGACCAGAATGCATGTTTAATTTGAATTTTGGGTTTCTGTGAGGTTTTAAACTGTTGGTTTCCTTTAGTTATGTATGGCACTCTGCATGCATTTTGTAACCTTTTTGCCTCACTCCAATTTCCTTGTTGTAGTGCTGAGAGGAGTAAGATGATTGATGCTCTGTTTTGAAAGATGGAATGATTGCAACAGATAAGACTTTCTACAGAAGTGTATAATGAGCTTGTGTGTAACAGAAAGCTTGAATGCTCTGCATACCATTCCTACTGCATTATGTCTGTCGTAACAGTCCTGAATTGGTACCCACAGCCCTCAAAGTAATTTCCTTCTGGAATATCCTGTAAGGTAGCAGTGTTGCATGGACCAGAGCACACTGACAAGACAGCCTTTGCCATCTACCTGTCAGGGCCAACTAATCTTCAGGAGTAATCAGTTGGATTGACACGGCTGTGCTCTTCTCTTTTAATTAAACTAAGTTACAATTCTCCACAAGAGGAAGAACTCAATACTTTATTGTACGGCATAGGTGATGCTAAAAATATACTGGTCCCTGAAGCAGGAAGATTTTAATTCCAAATGTGGCCAGAAATCAGGAAATCAGTCTTAAACTTTTGTCACCCAACATGCCGGCATCTGAAGTGCTGGATACAGAAGAGGGTTTCTTTGTAAGCCCTTTTGAAGTAAGGGTTTGTAGCAGGTGTCGCCTTTAAAAATGCTTTCATCCTTTCTCCTGCATAATAAAGGTACATTCTTAACCTGAAATAATAAGGAAAATATTTTACTGATAGCAACAAGTCCTCTGCTCTAAAGCAGCCAGAGTGTTTCCAACTAATAAAACTTTTTAAAAACAGTTGAAGGAAAAAGAAGCAGAGATTGGGGATGGGTTGCAGCACCTAAGGTGGAAGCCATTTAGATAAATATAAAACTATGGCCTGTGAAGAAAAAGGACTCAAGTATTCAAAATATAATTAGTAATCACATCTTGTTAATGATATGCAGCTATTTGGGTCAAAGTAAGCTTCAAACCCAAAATCTGCACAAGCTCTAAAGATGCCCCATTCCATGTGAGGGCAGCTGGGCAACATTTACCAGGGAGTGGAGTGGGTCTTCTCTCACTTACAGGGGAATGTCTAATCATAAAACTACCAGTTTACAGTCTAAAAAGTTCAAGTGTAAGGATTTATGCAGAATAGAGGGAGTAAAGTCCACTTTTGGCTTTTTATTGGCGGAATTTCAGGTAAATTAAAGACTCAGGGAAAGGTTCAGCTAGTGAAAAATGCAAGAGCCCTTTGACAGATGATGTAATAGTTACTGCTAAAAACGCTCATATTTTCCAGAAGGAACTTATAAACTTGAGAGCTGTCTCAAGAAAGGAAAAAAACACATGTATTCTGAAAAAGAGACCTAAGCATGTGCTTTCCCAACTATATTGGTCTTGGTAATTTTGTGTCAATGAGATATACAGAAAATCACTACCTAAAATAAGAGGGTGCTCTTATTTGCGTATCTTTATTCTGTGTAGGTTATAGAGGACAGAAAGGGGAAAGAGGCGAGCCTGGAATTGGACTGCCTGGTAACCCTGGACCACCTGGCCCTGCAGGTACAAGTCTCCAGATTTATTTCTGCTATTGTTATTTATAAACTAACAGGCCTTTCTCCTGTTTTTAACGCTGGTTTTACACTCCTGCTTTTCCTCTCGAGCTGGGTCGTAGCGTGAGGTCAGCCCCAGCTGCCTTCTCGTGGATATGCTGGAGTGCAGCAGATGTCAGTGGCGGAATGCAGGGCACTGCACATGCTCTGGTGAAGACTCTGCTAATTCTAGCTTTGTTTTGCCAGCTGCTGGCCTGCCAGGCCCGCCAGGAACATCAGGCTCACCAGGACCGCAGGGGCCGCCCGGACCCAACGGGAGATGCAATCCCGCAGATTGCTACTACCACGTATCACAGACTCGCTCACGCACCAGCAGGAAATAAAAACCCTCTCCCCCAGACACTTGGGATCACGGTCACTTTTCACTCTTTCCAATAAGTTAATTTAATTTTTGAACTATTTGGTGCATTTTTTTGTTTTACTCTTGACACTGCATGGTATATAGATAATTTGTGAGGCACAAAATTGAGCCTTTTTCTATGTTATTTGCAGTGTCATAATGATGACATGATGTCATATATTTTCCAGAGTGCATTCCATGTGTTGTTTCTCATATTTATTTTGCTTAGAACAGAAAATAGGCCCAAATAATTTTCATAAACTTCTTTCTTCGAACAAAAATATTTTACTATAACTTAAGACATTATGTATGCCTCTATATGTAAGCTGGCTTTATTTTTCTTGCTGGTGGTGAATTTGAAATGGAAAAAATACATTTCTGAAGTTGCAAAGCATGCTCGTTCATGGCGAATGGAGGATCTGAGCTGGAGCACTGGGAACTCTGTTTAGACTAAACATTCATGTCCCTCAAGGAGGCTCCAGCACACCTTCTGAAAAGGGTCTGCTGTGCACCAGGAGTGCTGCCCACCATTTCAGTCACATCCAAGATGGCAAAGAAGGAAACAAAGATGCGTTTATGATCTTCTTATCCCATCCAACGATGAGCTTCTGACTGACTGGAAAATCACCAGGTATAGCTCCAGGAAATGTCTCTCCTGACTGGATTTTGTCCCAGCTGGGGGTTTGTATGTTCCTTTAGTCGTGGTTACACATACCCCAGCAAGAGGCTGCTGGTGGTGTTCTGGACTGAGAACTGGCACACCTTCTAACCAGTACATGGACTGAGAAAGGGCACTAAGGCCGGTAATCAAGCTACTCTGCCATTAAATCTGCCTACAGCCAAGGTGACCCTCTGCTTTAGAGCAGAGGGTGGTGACTACATAGTCCGACAATGGAACTTCACAAGCCTCTAATCTTGGTGATGGCATTGTTTTCCTGTTCCTCTTGCAATATTCACATGCTGAAATAAGCTTGAGAAGAACATGGAATCTGTAGAGTGCAGAACTCACAGGTTCTTTTAACTGGTTACAGAAAATTTCTTGAGTTCAAGAGAAATCTGGAAAAAAATACAAAACCCTCCTAGAAAGGTGTACTACTGAGAGCAACAGCATCTAGTTTTCAGGCATTTAGTAAAGGCTACAGGAACAGAAAATGTCAATGATGAACAAAACTGAACAATGTGTAAATCCCATAGAGTTCAAAGGGTTGAGCAAAAGAAAAGCTGGAGAAAATCAATCACACAGGTGACCCTGAAAAGGTGTGAGTAGGGGTGGCTAAAATTTCACTTCTGATTATTAGGAAAGACATGATCCTAAGTTAGTCCTGTGGAATTTTGTACAGTACAATAGAAAGTGAAGGTGCTAATTAGGGAACACAAACATCTATAACCTACAACCTCAAAATGCACCTGTAGGTGATACAAAGCCATACTGAGGATTCTTACCCCATCATTTGGAAGTCAGTCACTCTCCCACATCAGGCAGAGAAAGTTTTGGTAACTGTGCTTGAGCAGTACTGAGCTACCAGGGAAATAGTCTCAAGTTGGAAGTGCTGGCTTCCAGAGAAGCTGTTGTGATACATTAATCTGGCTGACTTTCGGGTTTTGCTTAAAAGAAGTTAAAGAATGAGTGGTGGGAGTCATTAGCAAAAGATGCACATTGGCATTTGTTCTGAATAGAGTTCCTAGCACTTGCACCCAGAGCAGAGGAGCAAGATGAGAGCAAGAGGTGACAGAATTAATTCAGGCAGCAGCTGGGGCACTCAGGACACTTTCTGAGAGGGAAAGCAAACATCCCTGACATGCTCATTGGTTAGATGTTTTGGAGGAGGGAAGGTGCTTTCTACAAAAGGATTTTAAAGGAAACACGGGGATGGAATGCTGAGAGTAAATACCTGGGGCAGGAGAGGGCAGCAGGAATGAGGATGGCAGAAAACCTGTGGTACACCATGAAATTATCTTTTGAAAGACCTGCAATACACCCTGCAGCTGGGGACACCCTGGGGAGTCAGGGTGCTTTATCTGTTCCTTGTGAGAATGGGGTCAAAAGCCCACAGGCAAACCCAGTCCTCACACCTCCTGTTCTTCTCACCCCCGTCATTCCCCGGGAGGCGATGGCTGTCCCTTCTCCAGGCCAGTGCATCTTCTGCTCCGCAGGCAGCGGGTGCCTGTCCCACTGGGGCAAAGGTGCGTTTGGGACAAGTGGTCCTGCCTGAGCTTAGCTGAGCACAAGCTGCTCCCACTCCAGAATTGCTGGGCCCATGGAGCATGTTTTGGTTTGCTCTGTGGAACTGATAACCCTTCCAGTTCTGGTCCTCAGAGCGCCAGGGCTGTGGGAGTGCTGGGAATGATGAGGCAGCTGGAAACCGAGCACTGAGTCACCGACCACTGTGCAGGCCACAGATATGCCCAACCAGAGAGTACAGCCTTGCACCAACACATCTGGGTGTCTAAACATGGACACAGAGGAGGAACAGCCCCACATACTGCTGTCCATTCTCTGAAAGGAACTGCTGGTCAGGTATCTTCCATGAACATTTTCTCTTTTTTTTCTTTTTTCCTGTTACTTCTTTAGTAATTCCAATATTTGTAATAATCTAAACATTTTTTTACTTCATAAATTAATTCTGAACCTCATTTTCCGTGATAGTGTTGAAAAGGGTGCTGTCTTGTGGTAGTACTTGCGTGACTTGGAGGTTCCCAAGCAGCCCCACCCTGGAAGGCTGTACATAGACCATTGCGCCGCGTTGGTGGTATCTGTATATTTTGGGGCTTTTAGCTTGCTGAAACCCAGCATCTGTTATCTGCCAGATGCAATGGCTGTATTTTAATTTACTTGAACTTATTGGAAAGCAGAACACTTTTTATATTTGAAGAAGTTTTATTTTTTCATCTATGTTTCCTACAGATGCCTTTTTCTTTTTATAGGCTCAAAGAGAAAGGCCTTTCTAAAATGTATTTGAATGCTTTCAGTTGATTTGCAGGTAACTTTGGTAGTTATCTTGTTGCATTATTTTTATTTTGCTAAAAGCCCACTTTATTTTCTCATGTGAGAAAACGGGTATTTTTTTATATGGGCTATTTCAATACCTATTTTAAGATGCCACATTCTTCACTGAGGTAGAACAGAGTTAATCCCAGCTTTACTGTACTTCACACTGGCTTGCTCCTACTTTGCATTTATAGAATTGAAAGTGGAATATAGCTGGAAACATGTGTCTGCATGGTTTTCAGATTCGGCCCCTGAAATTTCTTTGCAGTTTCAGACTGATGTTGTCTTAGTTTTTGGGCAGGAGGCCATACAGGGAAGAGGGGATGCTAATCTATTTTGCAATTTGCTTTAACTGTTTTGTATCTGTTTTGAGCAGCTCATGCTGCAGTAAGCACTGCAAGGAAATAAACACAAGGGATTTTTTTTTTTTTCCAGTAGCTTAAGGTCTTTTATTCAACTTTGGGTTTGTTTACATGCAGCAAGACTCAGAAGTGAAATAACTTCGACTAAATGTTTTAAACATTTCTTAAAAGCTATTTAAGCTTTAGCCTAGTTCAGGGTCAGACTATTATATTTTATGGCAAGTTGCTTTAATCACCTATTAAGAACCTATTAAGTGTTGGGATTTTCTTTAAATAGCTATGTACAGAACTACCCAGTTTGCCTAAAAAATGTACAGAAACTTGCTAGGAGGGAAGCTTTCCCGAGGCTGCAGCAGACTCCTGCTGTCCACATGGTGGAGTGCAAAACATCCTTTCAGTACAAAGATTACAGCCCAGACATAACTCGCCCAGCGGCACAAGAGCTGACCCAGCCACGTGTATTCTCACAGCACAACAGTCAGTGTTTCTGATTTTGTTCTTGAGAATGATTTTTTTCTACTTTCTTTCTTCAAATTTCTTTAGTTCTGCATGGGAGTATTTGCAGAAATACTGCTTTTCTTGGATAATTATTGTCAGATAATATTGCTAAGATTTTATTTGTGTTTATTATTATATTATGTTTTATCTATGTTACAAAAGAATATGTTGCGGTGGGACATCTCACTTTCAGGCATCACTTATGTCCCCTGCAGTGATGTTTGTCTCCAGGGGAGGAGAGACTCACCTGTGGTTAGTAAAAGCTTCAACAGCATCCAGTGTGCTATTGGGCAGCAGTGCAGCCTGGCAATGTTTTGAGAACCAAAATTTTTACCTTAAACTGAATTTGGTTTCAATTTTAAAAGAGCACTGTGATACAGAAACAGGATTGATTATCCTTCCCTTACGTTTTATGACTGTGGGTTATGATGTTAGATACACACAGCTTTGTTAAGTAAGTGGGGGTTTTAATTAATGGCTAATCACACAAAATATTTTGGATTTTCTTCTTTTTCACAAGGATGAAATGTTACTTTTCATGTCTATGTACACTCAATTCTTTTCTTTTTTTTTTTTCTAAAATGTTTATATGAAAATATTGTAAAAACTCCACTGTCTAAATTAGCATTTTATAAACTTGTTTCTCCAAACAGACTACCTAAAATCAGTCCCTAATCTTACATTTTACCAATGCAGTCAAACTGCTGCTCTAATATGAGATGTTAGAACAAGAAAATAACACAGGAATCAAAACATTGCTGGTTTGGGGTGTGTTTTTATTGAGTTTTTAATGGTTTCTTGATGCACCAAGTAATGCAAACTTTTCCTGAAATCTGATATGTCCACTACAATTCTATTGTACTGGATGGATGTTTAAATCACCTCCATGCACTTAGGTGGGTGTAGGCCATGGAGAACAAGTTTACCCCTGACCTTGTTGTGGTTGGTATTTAAGTGGAAAATTCAAGCTTCAGGATACTGTAGGAAATACGGTTTTCAAATATTAATTGCTAACAAACATTACAGATTCTAGACCAAAATAAGTTTGTAACTGAAAAGATTGGAGTCTACATGTCTTTTAGCAGTCTTCTTTCTTAGTCTGCTATTCTATAAACATGAATGCATTTAATTACT